CAGAATAATGTAGTAAACTACAAATTTGTTTAGCAAATTGTTTAGTGTATATTTTAGTTAATTAGTAATTGCAGCATGCAACTAATTGCAATCACTATAACATGGTGTCGATAACAGTTATTCCATATTTAAGTGTAAAATGTTGTCATGAATCTGTAATTGCATTTATAATTTAGTATTGTAGTTGTTGTTATAGCGCTTGAAAACATTGCTGCATTAGTTTTGAGGAATGCTACCGAATGGATACAGCTCGGTTGGATAATAATTCCGTTTCATTCTGACTCGTATACCCCACTGTCATAGGAGCGGGTGCACATAAGGGTTAGTTGTGTTTGAAATTTCAAAACTCGATATATTTGTCTTATTAAATAATATAATATGTTTACCATATTCTGCAGAAACTTTTAAAGTAAGTAAACAAAAAAAAAATAGTAGAAATATCTTTTTGCTTCTAAAACCCACTCTACCCCTTAAGCATTCCTAAAAATGTACTAACTCACTAAGCTTATTGTCATCACCGAGCTGACTGACAACATGATAACAGCAATACAGAATAGTAGTAGAATCGTAGGCACAATTTTTTCAATATTAGCAACTCTCCACCGTTGTATAAGGTTAAAGTGTACAAATTCGTTCCGCTAAAGTTCTATCTGACTTTTTCCGCCGTATCCCATAGAGTATAGAATTTTTAACTAGTTGTTTAGAAACTCCTCTCTTGAATTATCGATTTCTTGGCAAATGATATAGCCGTTATAAAACTGAATTTTGCAAATTTTAAAAAATATTTTGAACATTTTCTTCTGTGCCGTGTCGTTGACTAACTCAGTACTGTTATCCTTCCGAAAACTTTCAAATTGCTTTTCTATATCATATATTTTCGCAAAATGCCAATGGACAAAAAAGTGAAGCACGTGCATTGAGAAATATATTAAAGATTATTTTAATGTGACAAGCATTCGTATGTGTATTATTATTTTGCACTATGCGTGTTTTCAGCCATACCGTTATTTAACCATTACAATATAAAAAACATAATTGTTTGTATATTGTTGCATGTTGTCTAGCAATAATATTTTTTGTACTTCCGGAAAAAAAGGAACAAAATAACAGTGCTCCATTGCACAGTTACTAAAAGCAAATCTTCATGGGTACCCAGCGAGAAAAACTTAACTGTTCTTAATTAAGGTACAGTCTCAGTGTCCGTCCGTGTAAGCGATAACTTGAGTAAAAATTGAGACATTGTGGTGAAACTTGGTACACATGTTCTTTGGCACCCAGGAGAGGTTGGTATTGGTATTGAACGATTGCCACGTCCACAAAATACCACTAAATGAAAGCTTATAAAGTTCCATAACTAGGCTCGACAATATGACAATATAACGAATTTCGTTACGTAGGGGCATCTGTGGTTTGAGAAATTTAAAATAGTGAGCGTGGCTCGCCCCTTAATAGGTTTAATATACTTATCTCCTAAACCGCTGCAGTTGAATCGCCCAAATTCGCTCAGAACAAATATATTCGGTATCCCCTCCCCGTGGCACCGCCTACCTTTAGGTGAAAACCCATATCTCATGCCTTTATAATATGCTGTCTCAAGTCTAAAATTGATCACAATAGGATATTAACTGTTTACGCCGCCAGTGACTGAACATTTGGACCTTAGTGCCTGTGGCCGACTTTTTGCTGAAAATATCGGTTAATATTTAAGAAATTTAAAATTCAAAGAGAGTATTTTCCTGATAGTAATGTACGGTATGTACCTTCAATATTTTCTCTAGCCTCCATATACCTAATATAAAAATGTTCGAACTTTCAATTGACTTTATACCAGGTACATTGGTCAACTTGCCAGTTTTCTCAATGAAATTCATAGAATATATGTTTTTGGTAATAAGATGTTGTTATGCCAAAAATAGATTAAATCGGGTCTATACTAATCCCAGCCCACATATACCCTTTATAAGAATTTTAAACTTACGGTTGCCTTTATAACGTTTAATATATATATAGTTAACGATCTATAATATAATTTAATAAGATAGCAAATATGATTGTAATGCTTTCACATAAAATGTTCGGTTACACTTGAACTTAGCACTTCCTTACTTCTTCTATATAAAGTTGTTGAAAAAAATGGCTAACCGATTAAGTTTCATTCCACAGTTCTTCTAATTAATCCATGCATATTATATCATAATATGTTTAGTCGGTGTGTTGAAGTCCTCTGCTTTATAAAGCTCAACTTCTTCCACGTATTTTATGATGTCTTTATTTTGCGAGGTGAATAAGTCCTATAACTACCAATGCTTAGGTTTTATACTACTCCTCACCAAATGACTTATACCGCGCTGTTACCTAATATATTTAACCGAGTTACTGTGCTTTGATTCCGAATATGCTAATATTTAACAAAAAAGTTAATAATTAACAAGAACTTTCTGAAATTTGGGAGTTGAAGCTTTATATTATTACTATGATACTTCATATTATATTTTCGACTATTTGACGCCAAACCATCCACTAACAGTAGGTTTATTTGTCGTACACAGTGTTCGTACCTAGCAATTCCTACCCAGCTTTTCGGGCGTCGCTTATAAGAATTGCATTTGAAATGTATCGTCAACACGAACTAACTATTGCGCTGCCATTTCGAATTGCTATTTTTTATTTAACTGCTAACTGCTTTTTATTTATAACTGTTGTTTGCACAGCACTGCACCACTTAACCCAGTGAACTTTATAAAATCAATACAAAATTGTTTACGACCATTGCTGCAATTGGCCACTTACGGTCTGTTGTTGCCGCTGGTAGTAGCGTTTGCTACCATGGCAGCCGTAAACTTGGCTAATTGTTTGAGCCATCGCTTTTTTTTTGGTGGTGTTGGTGAAGTAATGTCTGCCAATGGTTGAATGCGACGCAATGCAGTCAGCTGTTTGGCAATAGCCTAGCGCTGTGGCACACACGCTCTCGTTTTGGCTTGATTGCTGTGTTGGAAGGGGCATTGAGGGGAGAACATTGCGATAAATGGTGTACCGTTATATTTATAAGTACATACTCGTCTATGTGGGCAATGCTTTTCCAGTTGGTGCTTTTGTACGTAGCAAAGCAACGTAGCTCGTTAAGTTGACACTTTGATTTTAGGTGTTTTTTTTTTTAAGTTTTTCTCTTGCTGCACTTAATAACTTTACGACAATCCGACTGTGGGGAGTTACAAATCTGCACATTTCAAATTAAAACTGCACCAGCTTATGTCCCCCAGGGCGTACTGTGGTGTATGTGGGGCGTTAATTAAGTGACTTTTGATTTTTGATTGCAAACAGCTGTTTCAGCTTGTATTTTTTTGCATGACAGCATGTTTAGTCATCAGATTGCCTGTGCGGGCGGCACATCTTCTCTACCGTTCTGCTTGCACTAGTGCTTGTGGATAATCCTTTAATCCCTTAAAATGGCAAACCCATCATTGACTTATGCAAGTCTGTGAAGCACAAACATTTGTGGTGAGTAATTGCAAGGTCCTTGTTGTTTGGTCAACAGCCAGCTGTAGTCATCATTTACTGCTCACTTTTCTCTCCCATTTTTTTGTTTCATGCACTTGTATGTACGTGTGTGTGCCTTTCGTGATTTGTTTGAATTCAATTTGGGTGACAAGCTGTCATTTGGGCATTGCAAAAACAGTAATCAACACAATATATTCTACTCACTTGTATGTGTACTTATCTGTTACCTATAACATAAGTGTGTGTGTGTGTCGGCCTCATGTCCGCAATGTCCTCTATGTCCTCTCTGTAAACCGCAATGACTGACCATTGAGTGTTGTTGCTTTTATTGTTTAACAGTTAGTGGCTTGATATACAATTGTAATGCCAAAAAATTGGATAGTCGCCAAGGCAAAACAAGTTGTAAATTGTTTAACATTCCACTTATTTACTATACAACCAATCGCATACAATTTGTTTCAATTAGACATTTACTTGTGTGGTTTATTTATATATGTATATAAAATGATATATAGTATGTACGAGTATTCTTCAGTATTAGAGTTCAATTGATTTAAAAAAAAAGAAAAAAAAACGCTAACTTAGTTTACAACGAAGCTAAAATACCCTTCACAATTAAATATATATTTCCATACAAGAACTTGATTTTGATCGGTCGGTTTGTATAGCAGCTTTGTGTTATGCTATGGTGATCCGATTAATGACCAATCAATTCCGATATTGTAGCATAATTATCTTGTATAATAATCTATGTTTTCCTTAGAAGAACTTGATTACAATCGTTCAGTCAGTATGCCAGCTGCATATGTGTACATTAAGAGCAGAAAGTTTCCGGAAATTGTAAATAAAACGAAACATTTTTCATCTTCATAAATATTTATTTTGTTGCTTCAAAATATGCCCCTTTTGGAGCGATACACATATGCTACCTCTTTTTCCAATCATCGAAACATTCCGTGTAGGTCGGGGTTCGGAATCTGCGAATTTTGTTTTACGGCCTCAATCGAGTCGAAAAAGATTCCATTTAGTGGTAACTTAAGTTTTGGAAACAAAAAAAGTCGCGTAAGGCCAAATACGGTGAACACTGTGGTTGATCGATGGTATTGAACGAGTGTTTGCTTTTAAATTTGTTCATTATACTTTGTAGCAACATGTTGTATATTAAAAACAGAAAGTTTCCGGAAATTGTTTTTTTTTTTCAATATTCGCGATTTGGAGTATTATTGAGGCGTTTTGAAGAATTTGTGCAAAAACATCCGTCGTAAACGGTCGGAATTGTGGGCCAACAATACTTATTGTGCTTAGTGATTTAGTTCGACTCCAGTACTTTTTGGCAAAGCAACAATAACAATAATAATAATAGTAGTTGTATACTTAAGCAACTTAATAATTTTCTAAATTTTCTAAGCATTACAACAAATTAATTTCTGAATGCCTTAATTCTTTTTGCATTTAAAACAATTCACTTCATTCAAACAAATTTTCTATTTATTTCTTTTTAGCAGCTCCATTCGGAGTATCGGAGCACTTATCGCTGGCATGAGTTCACAGGGAATTCGCGGCCAGAAGTGGTGCGTCGTGCGCCAGCACCCAATCCAAGTCAATTTATCGGTGAGTTGCCTAAACATATGTACATAGATAATACAAATCTTGCGCATACGCTGCTTGCTAAATAAAGTGATTGCTAGTGCTCAGAAATATATATAGTAAAATATAATATGTATATGTTTATATAATTGTATTTACAACATACAATGTATATATATGCATATATAGTAAATTTATAGTATAATATATATATATGGTATATATAGTAAATGTACTAAGTTAAACTTCCTATATATGCATGTATATATATGTATATTGTAAAACTCGTATATACTCGTATACATATGTATATTTATTTATAATATTCAATATTGATTAATTTATGCTTGAACGCTTAACTTCAGTTACTATTCAAAACTATCTTAAGCCTCATTGACAGGTCCAACGAATGAGCCACCATTACCCAGGCGGAAAAAATGTCCAGAATTGGCATACAAGTCGCACGAATTTATTATCGGTTCGGAGTATACAGGCACGAGAGGTGGACATGCCGGTGCCAATCGGTTAGCCAGGGTGAGTTGAAAGATTTTTTCTTAGCGAAATGTACATATAGTATGTCGTAAAAACTCGTAACTACATACGTAGTAAAGCAGAATCTTTTTATTTAGCAGTAAATAACCAAGTGGAGGAACCCCATATTTTAAATACTGCAAATTTTAGCAGTTTTAAATATTAGTGTTAAGCTAAAAAAATCAAAAACTGTTTGCAAGTGTTGCGTTTGGACTTAGAATCCATGTTTCAATATGTCTTGCCATCCTGTCAACTGTGGATTTTTGGTATTTAAATGAGTTTTCAAACAAATTTTATCCAGAAATTTAAAGGGAGAGCAGATAGCAGTCTTTGTGAGAGTTCATTGCTGGGTTAATATGCAATTTTATTTATTATTTGGTATAAAATATACAAGGTTGCAAATAATGCATTAAAATCAAATTTTTTATCCCAAATGCGGGGTTAAAAATAAATTAAAATTTTTTAATCCTCCATACCGGATTTAAAAATAAAATAAAAAACTTTATCCCAAAACCGGATTACAAATTAATTTTTAATTTTTTATTAATAATTTAAATAATTTTTAATTTATATTTAATTTATAATCCCAACTACCGAATTGACAAATAAAAAAGAAAAATTTTAATCTCAAGCATATGGTAGGATTAACTATTAAAAAAGAATTTGCTTAAGATTTAAATTTTTTTGCGTTCATTCAAATCAAAACGTAATAGTTTCAATTTTTAATTTTTAATCGCAGACATCGTGGATTACAAAATGAAAATTTAATTTTTAATTCCAACATTGGTATTAAATTTTTATTTTTTAATCCCAAATTTTTGAATTAAAAAATGCGCAACCCGTAAAATATAGAAATGAAATATAATATATAATGATTAGCTATTTCAATCAGATGTGGAAACACAGTTCTTTTTTTTTATAAATACTTAAAAAGTTAATTATGTACATCATTTTAACGATTTAGCGAGCTTTCATATGCATTAAGCCTTTCAAAATTAGCGAAGATTTTCTAGAAAACTATTTCTAAAGAATATTTACAAAAAAATTTAAATTGCATTTACTGATAGCACATTTGATATTTCAATCAATTTAAACCTGTAACGAACACTAAAATTAATTTTCATCAGACAATTAAAAAATAAGTCAAGCCCATTTAAGAGAATTTATAGTAGGCTTCATAAAAAATGCTGCGAAAAGAGAAAAAGAAGATAAATATTTTTGATGAAATTTTATTTATATAGATATTATATATAGATATGTTCCATTTAAGATTTTCACTAAGAATATTATGCTAAGCATTTTCTTACGACTAGCAAGTGTAGGTAGATTTATAAGTTTTTAAAGACTAGTGTGTTGAGGTAGACTTAACCTAGAATCCCATGCGCCAAGACGAAAAGTAAAAATAAGTCCTTGTATTGAAAACTTAAGTTTTTGACAAAATATCTTTACAAAATTGGCATGTTATATTGCCCAAGACAATAATGCAATATCCGAAGAAATTGTTCAGATCGGACAACTATAACATATAGCTGTTATACAAACTGACCGATCTGAATCCGAATAGTTTGTATGGAAGACTTTTTCATTTGATGCGATATCTTCAAAAAATTTGGCATGAATTATTGCCTAAAATAGTGCTGCGATCTCCGAAGAAATTATTTAGATCGGACCACTACAGCATATAGCTGCCATACAAAATGACCAATCAAAATCAAGTTCTTGTAAGGAATCTTCTGTAATTGTGAAGGGTCAGCTTCGATTCAACCAAAATTAACATTTTTTCTTGTTTTATATTAATTTAACCACATTTATTAACTTGTCGAAAGACCTTGACCTTAACCTGTAAGAAATCTGCCACAATATTTATCTAAGACTTAAATTTTTACTTGGATAAATACCGCTCTCACATGCGACATTTTCAAAAATATTTTAAAACATTTATATAAATACAAATTTATATGAAAGCTAAATAATTAGTAGTATCAATGAAGCTTTCCCTTGCACTCAAACACTTATTGTGCATAACGGTATATCTGTGGGACATCAAATGACAGCCTTCATGGAAAATGCATTTCTATTATTTATTATTAATTCTGTTCGCTTGTGCCAGACAATGGCATGCATTATAGTGAGAATGTATGTGTAAATTATTATGTATTTGTCGGTTTGTGGCCATCATGTTCAGATTATAGTCAGCATTGCCTTTACTTAGCTAAGAGGAGAGCGGCATGTCCTTGCTTAGGCCGACCGACCGACGCGTCAACGCCTGCGCTGGCAAGGACGTTTGTCTTTCGATTTTGTTTTCAAACATACAATGGCGAATTTGTAAGCGTTTAAAGTCACTAATATATGCATATATGAGTTCGCTGGCGAGTTGAAAATGTATTTAAATGTCTTTGGCGCAAATAAACATTCGCACTTTTTCTTCGCTGGAATAAAGTTAATTTTTTAGTTATGAAAATGTTAAGTTAAATTTAACGTAAATCGCATGCAATTCACATAAATTGCATTTGTGTATGTGTATTTCTCTAATAGCATTGCAAAAGCATGTAATTTGTTTTTTTTTGATTTTCATGTGTGTGTGCAAACTGTGGCCTCATTCACTTTTGACGCTCAGAATTAAAATTTTATTTGAATTTCATGGTTCGTTGATATTCTAAGCGCGCTTTCAAGCTAATTAATCTCCATATATGTATTTTGAATGGGGTTGAAATGAACAGGTATACATACAGGAATCTTAACCAGCTTGCATTTATTTCTCTAATTAAATAAACAGTGCTCAGGAATTACACATAACTAATTGGTATTAAATAATTTTAAATAAATGATTGATGGAAATTTGATTTTTTTAAATATTTGACTGTCTTTTGCATTTTTGACAAGCATACATTCTTACCAGCTTTGTTTTGTTTTTGTAGCTGATTTTTATACCGGAATAACTCCGGTCAATAGTTGAAAGAAACTATAAAGTAGGTCAATTTTAACAAGATTAGGCAAATAATATTTAGACGCATTTAAATGTGGCTAATTGTCGAATGTTTTAAGTTTAGATACGTGTAAGCATAGACCGTTGCTGAGGCGGCATTTGAATTGTCCGAGTCCCTAGTCCATTGGCTTCTTTCTACATATATATGCCCAGAAGAGTGTGTTCAATCGAGTGGCTGCCCTTTTTGGTAAGCTTTTTTTCTACCAACAAACATTTCGCTCTGGTGCATTTTAGTATCTCTCAAATATGCCAACTTTCTTTCACAACTCGCGATCTGTGACAAGATAATGTTTCTAGTCAAATCATATAGTGTGACACGTAGCCCAAATAAAAAACGATGTACCTACATATGTATGTACTTATGCAAAATAAATTTTTACTCTAAATTACTGTTTTATTTTTTATAATTATTTCTTAAAACTTTTACTTTCTAGTCGGAAGAGCGTGGTACACCATCGCGTCGAAGCAAATCTGAGGGACCCCCAGCTGTACCCAATGGACGTGCGTATGCCATACCAGAGGAGGTTGATGGACCGGCTAAAAAACAGGTATGTTTTCAGGAGCATGTCAATTTATTTTTCAATTCCGTTACATTTACTTTTATAGCTACAATACATGCTAAAGTATGTCGTTTGTCCAATGTGTGGAAAAATATTAGTCATTTAGTAAACAAATATAGCTACATACAAATATAGTACGAATTACATATTGTGGTCTTGTATAGAAATAAATTTGTGTGTGTCTCGTGACTTGAGTTAATACTTAACTAAAATGCGAAAAATTTGAGTCAGTTAATAGACATGTTGACATTTTTTTGTTTGTATATATGTATATTATCATTAGCATAAGTTATTCATAATTCCAAACTTATTATTCCCTTTAAGGAATATCAACATTTTAATGGTCACATTGGCAAAGGCTTGTGTTTCTTTTCTAAACACGGTGTATTACCAATTTTGTCACACAATTGACAATTGACGGCCAGTTATTTTAAAGGAAAGCTAACCAACGGATAGGTTAGATTAGATGGCTGAACCGCCACGATCTCACTTAGACTGCTATACACAATCCTTTACGAAGCCATATAAAGATTCCTGTAGTTGAATATAAACTCTCAAAAAATCGTTCCTATTTCTGCAATTGGATGCCCTAAGGTGTGAGGTTCGAGGTATTTTAGCCTTGATCTGCCAAAGGCGGGAAATGTTGAGATGATTCTACAATATCTCATATTATTCCAAGCAGTAAATTTTTCAAACTTACGATTAGCGAGCGCAATGCTTAACGCTAATTTATTTAAAACTCTAAAGTTTATTCGACTAGATTTAGGCTATTCAAATGTGGACTAAGTTTATTATAACAATTTTTAAAAAATTGTATTTACACGCCTTAACAATCGATATATTAGTTATATATTGTAGATTAGAAATTAAGTTTATCAATCCTTGAGCATGAGCAATTGTCAGGCATGTGAGTGTAATTAAATTACAAACAAAATGTTTGAAAAATTCTTTATATATTATATTTACATTTATTGCTGTAAATTATTAGCGGTGTGTTTGTAGATTGCTACGAATGCTAATTATTTTATTTTTTTATTTAAGTATATGTTATTATGAGTATACATATAAGTAAAACTGTTACATTATTAATGTAAGGCAATTATGCAATTGATTATGTAAATTTTATGAAATTTCGATTTCAGATTTGAATGATAAAAATTATGCTAATGAAAGTTACATATGTACACACATGCATTCGTTCGTTCATTAGTATTACTAAATATATTTCTTTTCATTCTTAAAACATTTTTTTCACGTTTGGTAAAATAAGCTTTCTATCGGATTACCTATCCTTAAAACAATTTAAGTAACAACAAACTATCAAAACCAAACTTAGCTCAGAAAATCACGCGGTTGAGTGCACTCAAGATACGGTAGTAGAGATAGCTGTATGAAAAAGTTACGTATGCTGGACGATAAGTAGTTTCAAGTGACCTGACGGTATATTTCAGTACAATAACAGCAATACCAAAGCTACATAACAGTCTGGTTAATAACCATTCTCAACCAAATTAGTATTTACTTATTCCATTTAAAAACGTTGGAAAGATTAATAGAAATACATATAAGAAACATATTTACGCCAGAAAAACTGGCACTTTTGCAACATGCGTATTCTAAAGGAAAAATCACAGAAACAGCACTAAACTCGGTGCTTATCTGCAGGTACCAATTTCAACGCTGTGGGTTTCAACGATTTGTAGATCTGTCCAAAGAAGTACACATCAAGGAAAGTAAAAAAATTGTTATAAGATCTAGAACATAGTGGGGAGTACATTTAGGGCTTAAGCTGATGAAGCAATTAATATGAAACGCCATAAATGGTCGTATCGTGCGAACTAAACTAATGCTAGCACGAAAGAGTTATTACTGTTCATTAGAAAATATTCCAGCAGTTTTTACGGCATTAATAAAAACTTATCAGGCTAACAATATTGGATAAATCAAGCTAATTGGGACTAATTTTAGAGAGAAAGCTAACAAACTTAAACGCTAGCGTAAAGAAAGCAGCTACAGCACTTTCAGGATAATTGTACCCAAATGGGGGCTAAACTCATTATGAAATACGGTATATTGATATGGTGGTCAATATTGGAAAAGAAACACGCGATAAGGCTTATCAAAAGCATACTAAGAGTAGATAGTATATGCATCAGTGGAGCTTGTAGAACAGCGCCAAATCAGGCACTAACATTATTTTATATTTACTAAGCCAGGCTTATTCTGTAAGCAACCGGCACTAGCTCATAAATCAAAGGTATTCTCCCTATTAGTGGTCTGTTAAATTCGGCCTGGTGGTTTCACCATCGGCCTTTCTATAGACCCAAGTGCGTCACACGTCACTCCCTCTCTATATACCTAGCTAATGCATTCGGAGAACCTCTATAGGTTTATTAGATGTTAATAAATATAATTTTCGCAGACTAGTTAACATTTAACTATAGAGGCTAATATTGAAATTTTTACTTTGAAAATAATCGTTAACATGAAGTTTTACTTGCACTGATTGTTTTCACTGAATATATTTTGGAGACCCTATTTTATCGCAATTACAAGTACTGTGGTGTCATAAAATAAATAAACTTAGAAAATAAATATTTGAGAAATTATCATTCGGTAAGGATCATCAAAAATATTTTTGCCAATTTTTGCGATTATATAAATAATATATATTAGGGTTTATATTTGGTGTAGCCAAATAGTACAAACATTTTTATAAGTAAAAATTATACAACTCCTCATAAAGTATTATATTTATTACGATCCTTTTTTTCAATATCAATTAATGATATTTCTCTGCCTGTTAACTAGATCTATAAAGTTTTTTTTCTCAAATTTTCAGAGTTTTTTTTTTTGGGAAATTTTTTTTCCAAAAAAATCAAAAAGGTAAATAAATGAGCTAAAACTCTGCTTATTATTTTATTGACGAACGTCAATTTTCTTTTTATTTAGTTTTTGTTTTATGATGCTTCTCCAAATCTATTAAAACCTTATTCAATTACGGTATCAAGAAAAGTGGAGCAAAATTCACCGGAGAAAATTTAATTTTACCTCGGTGCACAATTTTACGTAGCGAAAGATGAAAATGCGAATGCATACCCATTTCTATTATGTGCCGTAAAGATAAGTGCGATATTTGTATGTATACATATTGTATGTCTTAAGTCGTATTTGCGCTGTTCCAATCGTGTGCTGAAAAGCAGCAGGAATATATATATCAGGATTGTAAAATGGCAATTTCAACAGTTGCCACACACACACACACACAACTCACATAAATAAATGCTAGTATTGAGCGCCTGTAAGCATGCTCATATATTCGTAAGACATACTCAATGGCCAAAAGCTGGTATGCATTTAGATCACTAAGCACTTCAGCGGCATACGACTCTCAACTTTATGCGCACACATTCAATTGGCAAAGTTCGATTTATTGTTGCCAATTTTTCTAGTGCCTCTTCATACACATGTAGGTACTGACAATATATGAAAGGCACGCTGAAGACTATTCCATACAAATTTAACAGTGAATAAAAAGCGAAAAGTATTAAATTTTTAGCGTCCAGCTATGACCAAATGCAATGGCGGAGCTCAACTGCATACTTCTTCCCCTGCACTTCTGCTCACTTGAAAGCTTCCAAAATTCCCAAAATTTAATATTACGCTTTCGACTATTTACTATTCCGGACTTTTTTACTTGACTTTGCCTTATTCCAAAATATAGTAAATGTTGAAACAGCAAATATCTTTGTATATAAATAGGTGTGAGTGTGAAGATACAAGTATATACATATGTATATGGTATTCCCATACGAGAATGATGAATATTCAATTCAAAATATAAGTATAATATATATCTTTAGAAACAGTTAAGAATTATAAATCAAATTTTCAGTATTTAAAAATATAAAAAACAAAAATCAAACAAATAGTTAGAGAATAGTATAAAAATGTTAATCCTCAATTTATTTTTTCCAACGGGATTGCTTATGAATATAATAACTAGAGAGATCCTAAACATTTCACTTGAGCTAAGCTTCAGTTGTCAGGTTAAATTGTAGTTGGACTGAACTGAAGTTACTTTAGCACTAGTGCTAGTGTAAGTAAATTTTCAATATTTTTCTGTATTTGCTATTCACCTTAAGCACTATACAAATATTGTTGCCTATCTTTTGGCGCGAAACATATTACTATAACATTTAAGTAATTTTGTTGAACATTTTGCATGCTATTTAATCATATTTATGGTTGTATCTACAGTTAATAATAATCACATATATAGGTACAGAAATATAAATATTTAGCAAATCGTACAGTTATTTGTTATTAATTAGGTACTGAAAAATTTTATATTTTGTAAAGTTCAAGCTAACTTAGTCATAATTTATACAAGGTTTACAAAAAATACTTGTATTTTGTCTTTCTCTCTTTTCTCTCCAAAATGTTTTTTTTCCGTCATTTTGCATTTTTCTCTCTCTATTTCTTCTATTGTATAATAATTATAATAATAATAATATTTGCTCGATCGCTGTCGTCATCATCGTTGTTGTTGTCGTCGTAATTGTACATCGTGGTTGCATTATTAAAACAACAAAAAATATATACATATTATATATATTTAAAAACAAATCATTTACTTGCCGTTGACTTTCTTTATTTATAAAAATAATAAATGTCTAAAATTTTATGCATTTATATATTTGTTTTTGTTTTGTTTGTTCCCTTTCTCTTTTTCTCTCTGCTCTTCTCCTTTGCAGGCGGGTGAGTCAAATGGCCTATTCAAAAAGACCATCTCAAAATTGAGCACAGAATATCGTTTGCAATTCGTTTGGCCCAATGTCCGACGAATAAAGGGCATTGAGGCCGGCGATGCGGCGGATCACCCCAGAAAATCAATATCAATGGGGGCGCTCAAAGCTAACCAACAACAACAGCAACAGCAGCAACAACTGCATCTCAGGCAACACCCACAACCGGCAATGCCAACAGTTCATAAAAAACGTACAACAAATCAGAAAGAAGGTGCGACAATATTCAATTGTCGCTAATAATTAATTCACTAATTACAAGTTAATGAATTTAACGTTTAATTAAAAGTAAAACGAAAATGTTTTCAATTATCTTAAATTAATTTACTAACAACTAACTAGAAGCGTTTAAATTTCAAATTGACTAATACACTTAAATAACTCGGCATTATCCAGTTAGTTAAAGTTACCACAAACTTTTTTCTATTTTTTTACTCAAATTAAACCAAGTTGTAACACTGGTGTGATGAAAATGGAAAAGTGCTTAAGTTAACTATAGCGTCCAAACTGATAAAAATTATAAAGATTCAAACTCTTGTTATTTTTCATATAAAAATGCTATTATATTTCTAAAAATACCGATATTCAGGTATGCAATTTAAAATTTTGCACTCTAAAATTTTGAGTAACCGTGTTCTTTTTAGGTGATGATATGATATTTTTCTCATTAACATTTTATCCGATTTTATGCATTAAAAGCTTGATAAGATGAATACGCGAGAAGATTAAACAAATTTTTATTACTCGTATATTGACCGTAACCTGTACTTAGTTTCCACATTTAAACATAAAAAGTAGGTCCCAAGTGTTTGAGTTTTAATCTCGCAAACGCGAGATAATGAAGAAGGAAGTGCTGAGATGTGTTCACCACGTTTTTTTTAATACAGCTTTTGTAACTGGCGTTCAGTAAGATTCTCAACCTTACAGTACAACTAAGAAGAGTCTAGCCTTACTGCGCTGGCCACGTTCTTGTGGCTTTCAGAATAATAAGAAATATATTAATTTTCTATTGGTTCATCAGCTAAATGCGAATTGTATTCAAAATCACAAGAGTTTCCTTAAGTGATATTTCATTTTCAAAATTCACCCATATTGTGTTACAACTTGCTAAGTGACTCTAGTTACATTTAAACTGGAAATAAAATTAAAACTTATATTGCAAAATTAAAAAAAAAAATCTTAAGTAGTAATTATTTGTTGTAAAATATATTTATTTAAAAATTTTTCTAGTAAAGCTTTTCGAAATAATTTTATAAAAACTTTTAAAGACTTTGCCGCTCTTAAAGCATTTACATTTTAATGTTCGCGCTGGTAGATTTAATTTTGGAAAAGAAACGTTGAAATTTTTTCAAGTTTTTTATGTACACGCTGTCGTAAATCTGTTGCTTCAAGTACAAAACGATAAAAAAAATGTACTGTAGTATATAAAATTAATATTCTTTCAACTAACAGAATATGCACGTTACTTATACTCACTTACGGTGCCTAAAAATATGCAAATAAATTGTAAAAACGGAACTTATTTTAAAAGCCCAAAGTATTGATGATTCAGAGCAAAATTTTTTGCATATTTTTGAGCAAACTTCCTTTGTACCTTAAGTGCATATTCTGTTAACATACTTCTACTATTATAACAAATATAAATATTTGTAGATTTTGAATAAGGCAAAAAACTTCACAACTCTACAAATATAATGTTTTTGAAAACTTGAAATCTTTTTGAGCGTTTATAAAATTTTAATAATTGACAAAATCATTTCTCTAAAACGTAATTTTTTTATATAAATAAATTTACATATAGCATACCTTTAGGGATTTTAATTGGTTAAACAATTTAAAAAGTATTTGTAGCGCACTTTTAGGGAGCTGTATTAGTATTAAAAGCATTTGTAGCATACCTTTAGGGAACTGTATTAGTTTCTTATTAAAAAAATTGTTATTGATTTGAGAAATATTTCAAATACTTATCTGAGTCTGCTGTGGGTGATTATCCGAAATTCACGGCGAGAAAATACAAACTTTACGACTCCATAAGTGTCTCCTATAACGCAACAAAATACAATTTCTTGGGTTGTATATGATGTTTGCTTTTTTTTAGATATGCTATAGACTTCTTCCTGCAGTACCAATGCTATTTTTGTGAGGAGAAATTTGATGATGATTCAGCTAAGAAAAATGTTTAATTATTTTCGCTAGCAAAATTTACGGTTGCTTCTTTTAACTTGAGAAATATGTTCAAAACTTGAATGCAATAAGTCCTAATTAAATTTGAAACAAATAAATATAAAACGCCTCAAAAGGATTTATTTCTATTTCAAATATCTACATTTGTAGCGAACTGTGTAATTCAAAATAGTACTTTAGTTGTAATTAAAAGTATACCGTAATTTTACATTATAATTTATTTACATTTTCTCTTAGACATATTAATATTTTCTAGCTTTGAACTATTATTTGCTAACTAATTTCTCTAACAAAAATCTATTAAACTGAATATACTGAAAAATATTGCCAATTTTACTAAAGAAAAATTCTCTATTACAAAAGTTTCCTTTTTTATATAGAACGAAATTAAAGTAATGCATTGTAATGCATTTGCTAAAAATATGCTTTTTCAAACATAAAATTTTGACAAAAAATGTAAGTTGAAACTTTCAAAATGAAAAGAATGACGTAAGTGTTGAAGTGTTAATATGAATACAATGAAATATTCTATATTATCTTATTTTTTGTTATTCACACAAATAATGTTGAAATTGTGTGTTCAATGAAAGGTGTAGAGTTTAGAAAATTCGTAGCAATACTAAATTAATTGACCGAATATGAAAATAATACTAACAAACTTAAAACTCATAAACATGAATACTTTAAAAAAATTAAAAATGAGTTTCGCACAGAAATTTCATAAAATCTGGCATCTTCAAGCCATTTACTGTGATATGAAAATAATTTACTTCACTGCTACGGCTTTCAGTGAACACAATTTATGATTTATTTTCTTCTATAATATTATTTAAATGTAGCAGAAATCATAGCGTGAGCATGCCATTATACAAGAACAGTTATTAATTGTATGAAAATTGAGTTTTAGTGTACGGGTATGTAAAAGAATTAAGGAGTTTTTCATTTGTTTAGTTTTTCTTCGTGATTGTGAGGAAAGGCATGAAAATTAACTTCACATCCCTCATGTGATTCTGTTCTTTGTATATTTTGTCAACGGTATTTTGATTATTTTTATTAGTCATAGAAGAAAATACACAGTGTATTCAAAACTATTTATATTTTGTAAAAAGCTTGATATAGTTAGGTTATAAAAGGAAAATTTCTTTGAGCTTAAAACAGCGACATTTGTTGTGAGAATGAAAATACTCTATCAAATCGGTTCCATCATTTTATTAGACTTAAACGAAAATCTCTATTTTCTAGGTGTTCACCTAAACTCTAAAAGTATTTCGCATTTCCTAACGCCGAGTGGACAAAATAATGCAATTTCGTCCTCTTATTAGCTCTTTACTTGAACGTGAACCTTTCTTTGTTCAGAAAATCCTATATTACTTTTTTTTAAACCATCCGTAATCCATTTTACTTTTTCTAAACACCAAATCCTTAATGGCACATACAATTTTATGACCGAAACCTAATTTGATCGATAAGAGAGACAAAACCATGTCGAAATAATGCAAAGGCTAAACATAATATTTCCTTTTAAATCTTCCGACTTATTATGCTAAATTGCTGTAAAGCTAATAAGTATTCAAGTATTGTGCTCAATGTTCATGTATTATATACATTTCGAATGCCTGTACTTGTACACAGAGTTAGATCACCTAAAAGGCACCACATGTAGACGAATGCAGCGAAGTCATGCGTGATATGGCCTAATAATTTGTTGATCGCAGGTACTCTTAGTACCTCCCAGCATCCTACTCGAATAACGTATACTTCTTTCCTGCACACTTAATTTTTATAACAAACAAACGAGAGAGCGTGGGTAACATTAATAAGTTGGAAAAGGACAAACAGAGAAGCGTCTTCATATTGCATACGATTGTTTTAGAGTTTGAGATTTCAACCTTTGATTTGAGGTGATAAAAGGGCAGAGTAATATTAAAACGTTTGATGATAGTATTAAAACACAATAAAGTTTGATGCATTTTATTTATTTATAAATTTAAATTATTGTAATATCATATGCAATGAATATAACTAGAGGATACACAGCGCCAATTTACTTATATAAGAAGTGAAATGTAAATACACAAGCAAAAGTGAGCGTTATCGTTTAGGAAAAATCTGCAAAAAAATTGTTTGAATTAATTTAGTTGATTTCTCAAGAAAAGAACTTATTTTTAATACTTTAGCTTAGCTTTCTAATTTTTGCGTGAAATTGAGCTTTGAAATCCAAAATTTATGCTGCTTCTGCTGAGAAATATATTTGCTACTACAAAAAAATGCTGCTTATAATATAGTTTATTTTATTTTAAAGCAAAAATTCCAAAAAGTTTTAATTAACAGTAATATAACCAGATTTGCTGGTGAAAATAGTGACTGTGAAATAGAGCCAATGAAAGCTTTTGCCTAATTTCTTCTCAACGTACATTTATTTATTAATTTATTTTAAGATTACTATTTCTTTTGGAATTTATCTAACTGTAATATTCTCCTCAAATGACACTTGCTACATTTACTACATTAATTTATTCGTGTAATTCAATTCAACCTGATTTGTTCGATGAAATTTCGTTCTATATTAATGACATTCATCCACAGCGTACAAGCATACTAATACAAACAAACACATAACGTTTATACTAACAACCACATATATAAAATTTACATAAAGATTTACTCATACATATACACACACACTTACATTTACATGAAAACAATACTTTTGCTTATTTATTACTTATTTTGCAAACTTCAATGCTCCCCTAAAGCCCCCTTATTTCTAGAAAATATGTAGTTAAGCGAAAATAGAGTGAAACCTCTATCACATTCGCAACAGCTGCTGCACTACCCCCCTACAATTTTGATAAATATATATTTTTTAAATTCTACTTTGCTTGGTTTTCATTTCATGCCGCCCGATTTCATTTCACTGCTGCCTTTTCCTCAATAAAAAAGAAATTCTATTAATAAAAGTTTTTATTTCCTTAATGCTTTTGTTGCATTGCTCGCTTTGGTTTTATCGCATTACATGCCGGTTTCGTTTAGCACAACTACTAAATATTTTCCTATTTAGTGAATTTGTTTAGGTGATATGGTCCTGTTTGGTCTGAAGTTCCAGCTAGTCCAACTTGCTGAATGTGTCTCTAGCTCAGCTGAAAAGTGGCTTTTTCGTAAAGGTTAATAGAACCGACATATTCAACTGTTTTACGTGATATTGCCTTAATTTTGATTTGGTGCCACTTCACTTCCGACCATTATCTGAAGGTTTATATAGTTAGGTATAAATACATATACATACATCAAAGTAGTGAGTCAATTATGACAATAAAACCCGAGAACCAGTCGCTTGCAGCTGCTGCTATTTCTCGTACGTTCCAGCGCGCTCGAGAACCCTTTGCTAATTATAAAATAACTTGAAAAGTATAATATTGTCGGATATATTTTAAATTTGCAGAAAATATTTAGAAATAGATACTTTAAGAACATGAAAGAAAAAACGAAGTCTGACTTCCCCTAACCCCTTAAAAGATACCTTTAACTTCAGAAAAGGTGACTAACCTTGTACTAGACTAGAAATGACAACTTTCACTATTTCAGACATTCTGTTGTCCAGCATTCTTTGATCTCCCTGGTCAACCTTCCGTAAAGAAGACCAGCTGAATCAATTATAAGGTTCAAGCCTTTCAAAAGTTAAAACAGTGATCTTCTTTGCGATATCTGCGCTCTAACACAGTGCCATGGCATCCAGAAAAATGTCTAGCCTATTTAGAAGATCGGCACCCATCTTAAGCATATTTTTACAAGCTTCAAAAAAAAAAGCTCTGCTAAATGCTTGGCTGTCTAAAAAGATGATCATGACCGCATTTATATTCGATTTAGTCCTACAACGTCGATATAATCAAGTCCCAGGCATGACCTAACCGCTAAAGTGAGTTTTGAACACGATCTTTTCGATTACAATTTTCTTACAACCACACGTACAGTCAGGAAACAATAGATTTACAGCACATTAGACCATTATGCTACAGTGTTTATCTCCATCATCTAACTAGAGACTTCGATTGCCTATGAGACATGGTCAATAATTATCCTCCTGGTATGTAGCCAGTGAGGTAACTTTCTCTTGACTGCTGAAGTTTTCTTATCAATAAACAAATTTTTGTCTTAATTGTTGTTTCTCAATATACACATAATAATAATTGTGTTCAAGGGTTAACTAAAAATATTTAGTTATAAAAACAAAAAAAAAGAAACGTGTAAAATATATTCTCTATGTTCTCGATGTGCTAAACGAATTATCACTCTCTATTTTTTTCTCACAAGTATCACATTTTTATTAATTATTACTTTTGTTAGATTTTCATATTCGGATTTTTTTGTTGTAGTAATTTACTGTACAAACGATCAAAAGAAAAATATAGCAATTTATGACTTAAAACTTTTTATAACTTTTTCTGCTACATCATAAATTACCAATTATTATAAGAAAAATGTTGAATTATATGACTTTCTTGATAAACGAAAACAATACAAATGAAATGGAACGAAAATTAAATTTTTTATGTGCTTTCAGCTAAACTACATGAGTTGGAGCCGCTGGTTAGCGATGCAGAAGAAAGCAAACCACAAGAAAAGTATGCAAAAATAATTTAAAAATTTTTATTTTCTGAATTTCTTTTAAGCACCCTTTTAGGCACATTTTAAACTTTTTGTTGTTGTTATTTTTTTTTTCAATTTTCTTTCGAACTCATCCACTCACTAATAAATTGCAATTTGTTTCTTATTTCGAGTTCAAGTTTTCCATTCAGACAGCAAAGGATATATACAAATGTGTGTGTGTGTAGAATAAAAAATCACAGTAATAAATAGTATATTTTTCCATCCGCTATCCACTGCTTAAATATACAGGGTTCAACTTCTTTATTTCCGCCACATCTTACCCGAGATTGTGTTCCCCATCACCTTCATCATCATCACATAATATAACTGCCATTCATTCCGTTAAATTTTTCGCTCTTTATGTGCCATATATTCGTAGCATATGAAAACTTAAAATGATATTTTTCTCTTTTATATTCTTTTTCAACTTTGTCACATCTGCTGTGCATCCATTGCGATTTCCGACGCTTACATACATGTACACAAACAAATGTTTATGCCAACAACAACACCGTTACAATGCTACGTTCAAATATATCATGTGCCAACACAAAATTGCTACAACAAAAACGTACCAACCAATCACAAAACACCATCCACATGTCATTCCACTATTTTCAATCGTGGACACGGCATAAAACTATCAATTTTCACATTGCTTGCACACAAATGCGAAAAACGAAATGCAAACATCAAATGCAAATCACTTTAACGGTACCTCGCTTCACTAATAAAAAAAATAATATTTGCAAAAACAAATTGTATGCTTGATTGCACTTGATCGCCAACAACTACAAAAAAAAAAAAAAAAATTGAATGCATAATGTCGTACGAGCAGACAAGTGACCATTGTCGAGAAGGTCGAACGAAAAGCGACTATACGCCCATTCTCGCAAACATTCGACCAAGAACGCATCAATCACTTCATAACCAAGAAGGAGAATTTCGGCTTTGATGAGAACAAGGGCGGCGTTGGTGTGGACAATAAGCAACAGCAGCAGTCGGAACAGGAAGTGCTCTTGAATGGCACAGCACCGCCACGTTCGCAGCCGAATTTGGATTTGTGGTTCAAAGAAGTGGTCGAACTGCGTAAGAAGGCCGGCGAGTACAAGGTATGGTGCATTTGAGTATACCCGTATACGCATGTATAACCTCATATGGTATAAAAATGGTGCTTAGATAATTACAACTTTACATTGCAGTGCCGCGGTTGGGGCATAGAAATCGATCCGGAGCTGTATAAGAAGCAAAAGGACCTTTGGGAGCAGGTGTCTAAGCGCAGTTCACTGTCTGCCTTATCATTAGCATCTTCCGTGCATAGGTAATGTCACTATCTACAAAACGTACCTATCAACATATATATATATGCAAATATTTATTAATATATACCTATTATATATGTATGTGTACAACTTGCAGACCTATTACTAAGGAGGAGAAGGAGCAGGAGAATAATAAAAAATCCATACCATTAAGTAAAGCCACACAAAAAACTCGAGTTCCTGGTCATGCCCATTTGCTTGATAATAAAGATGAGATTTCCGCACTGCCAGCTCGCTTTAGCAATATACGTCATCATTTGGAGCGCACCACTGGTCCTGGTATACAATTTATAATTCATTTACATACATTTTCATAGTCATATAGTGTAACACTGCATACATACATATATACGATTTAGAAACAATTATTAACACACAAACAAACAAACTAGCTATACATCCACTACTAAGGCTATGCTGTTGCCAATATGTTTTCCTCAATATTCTAATAAAGTTCACTAAGCAACATGACTTAAGTATCTTATATACGGTCTACGGTCTAAAATAAAAGAATTTAAAATAATTGTTATCGATCAAACGACCATTTGCCTCAATATATCCATTCTGCAACTATATCAGCAAATTCATTTCTTCGCCACTTAAGGTATTGATACTACAGCCTCTTTCTTTTCTTGCTATCACCAGTTGATAGTGCAATCAATATTTTGACAGTTCTAGATGGTTGGATTGGCGATGAGCGCGCTGATAGTTATTTTTAATTCTTCTTGCCGGCCATATCTGCCAAACGAATTCACCTCAGATCCTTATCTAATCAAAAAATACATTCGTATATACAAATACATATATTGACCAATAATCCATTCTCAGATCTTTCTCAAGATTAAGCGTTTTATGAATATTGGAACAACAGTACAATTGGCCAGCTATATAACACTTTTTTAAATTTTCGCATATTTGATGAATTTGTTTGCTTTGATGATTCGGTGAAGGCGATAAGGCTTCTGTGTTTGAGTTGATACTATACATGTTTTATTTATAGAGCTCAGACGTTAGTTCGTAATTTATATTAAAAATGTATATATAAATATATTTTTTGCTGATATCTGGATACATCTGAGTAATATTCATGAGATTGCTACAAGGAGTTAGTGCTGTATGGCCCTTTTTTATATTCTGAACAGGGTATATTTAGTTTGCCATGATGTTTGAAGGAAGTTTGTATAGCATAAGTGTACAGAAAAACGCTGAAAAGCTTAGGATTAATTTTTTACGCTATTCATTGCGTCGAGCTGATTCAATGAAGTCCGTCTGTTTGTCTGATTGTATATATGCGAGTAAGTCGCAGAATTTTTGAGATATCGATCTAAAACGTGCTTTCCACCACAGAAACTGCGCTTTTGTAGGAACTGATGATATCGCACCACTATAGCATATATGTAGCTGCCATATAAACATAGCGATCGAAATAATGTTCTTGTATGGAAAAAATTTTCAGTTGACACATTATCTTCATGATATTTAACACATATTATTGTTCAAAGCAGCGTGTAGGTGCCATACAACCTTCCTTATATGGTAAACGTTTTTATTTGACAAATTGTTTTTACCGAATTCGGGCACTGTTACCCGTCCAAAGCCAACACAAATCTCCTAACATATTGTTCAGATCGGACAAAAGCGTATAGCTGCCATTATATTATCCCTACTTTAACCAATTCTACATTCTGCTTGCTGTTGGGATTATTGTTGGGTATGCAAAATTTATTTAGTTCGCTACATATATTTCATATTACACTGTTAACAAAAAGTATCAAAAAATTAGTAAAATACAATTTTTAAACAAACAAGCTAACTTGTTTGTTTATCTCAATCATTTTTATTCATTTACACGGATAAAAAATTTACGCTTGCTCATGACATCAGCCAACAGCCATAGCGCTGTATCATGCGAGCTCGCATAATTCCACAGTTTACAAAAACAATATTAATCATTCCATTGCATTTCACTTAAGGATCCACTTAAGAAAGCAATACCAATGCGTTACCACTTCAAATTCGTTTGAAAGCTCCTGAAATGGCAGCAGGATAGTCTCATCTTTGCCGATTCGCTACTAATACCAATCTATTTTGTACACTTTTACAGATGTTGAGGAGGGTGCACTCCTGCCATCGCCCACACGCGAAAAGCTAATGCCGGCAATCACCAAACGTGAGTCCGAATCACAACGCGGCAGCCCCAAGAAGACGGCCGCCTCACGACATGGCTCACCACAAAAGGGCAGCCCACAAAAGGGCAGTCCCAAGAAGGTGATCAAAAGTAAGTACCAAACCTAGTAATCGAATCGTAAAATACAGCCGCACAAAATTTCACACCGAACAGCATGTGTGTGTGCGTGTTAGTGTAAATTCCTACCGTTTACCTATGAAAGCAATCAGCTGAAAATTGAATAATGTCATAGTGAAAGCGCAACGGTGAAAGTCCAAAATGTCACTAATTTGCTATACATGCACATGAATTTGTTGAGAATTAGTAAACACCATTTCCGTACACGAAATGCAAACACCGTGTTTCCCTTTTTCCAACACATACACAATTTTAAAATTATTATGAATTGAGAGTATTTCTTGAAATGTTTTTTTCTTTGAAATACTATATTGAACCTGAAAAATAAGTCGAAATTCTGTGGAAAAATTATGGCGTATTTCATTTGATTTTTTTTTACTCTTTTCAAATCCTCTTTATATTATTTTGCACTACTGACTTTTGTTTTACATTGCAATATTTGCCGTTTGCGTTGCGCAGCATTTGAAGTATTATATTTGAATTTAATTTTCTTACTCCTGAAATGTTTGCAATACTAAGCATATATATATTTATTACAATGGAAATATGTTTATATGCAATATTTTTAAAAATTTATGTTATGCTTGCTTATTTTACTTTAACTCGCACAACATTATAACCAATTTTATTATATACACACATACATACACATAGTTATTAGAAAAATGAAGTAATTTATGATATTAATACGAGCTGAATCATATCAAAAAAGTTTTAGCATAAAAGGAAGTCTAGCTGTTACATATAACAGGTTAGGTATTTAATTAGGCTTGTATGCATTTTTGCTAGGCTATTATGATAAGTCTCATTGCAAACTATAGAATCTTAGTGAAAATTGAGCTTTTTGAATTTTAGTGAAATATGTTAACGTATTTTATGAAAGTACCTCTTTCGTATAATAAAAAATTATATAAACTTTTTAATTTCAAAAATCACCGAATCATGCATACTTTGCTTCTTCACTTAGCTAGCTTTATTGGCTAAATATATCTATTTTAAAATAAAATTTTTGTTAAATTAAATATAAAACAAATTCAAATTTAAAATATAATTTTATATAAAATTGAAAAACTGATAGTTGGAAAAGTAATTTTTGTGGCATGTTGCCTTGAGGTTATTATGCTGCTGCTAACGAGTTAATCAAGTTTTATAAACACAAAACAGTTTTCAGAGTTGACTATTTAGAGATATGAAATTCGGTTGTAAGAAAAAAGTCTTATACCATTGTACTTTGTAAACATTGAATGCAAGTGGTAAGCTTATAAAATTTGAATTTAAACTAATTTGAGGTTAACAGAAGCAAGTTACATAGCAAATGTATGTGTATATGCACACAGTTTCCAGTAGAGTACGCACTACATGATCGCGGATTATAGATTAAACTTATTGCTTGCCATATTCTGTGCTAAATATTTTAAAATTCTAGTAAAAATATTCACTAACGTCAAAAAATTTAAAAAAGTTTAAAAAAGTACTTGCTGCGTATCAAAAGTTGTTAAAAGTTAGTTATTTTATTTCTTTAGCGGGAATTAATACCAAAATGAGTGGAATTATTTACTAAATACTATAATTTTTCATAACGGGTTCGTGTCTTAAGTCTTTTGTTTTCAAGTGTTCTAAGGCTGAGAGCATAGCAACGCGTCGAGTTAAATGTCGAAAAAGCCACGACATAGATAATATATATTACAATATTGCTCATGGTACAAAATAAGCGCAATTTAGTTAAAAAAATTTAAATATTGTATGAAATTATATTGCAAATGACTTTTATAGTGAAAGTTTAAAAATTACTACGTTTACTGAAAATTTGCTTAAAATGTACACAAAGTAATAAAAATCACTTTTTTTACAGCAATAAAATTTTTGTTGCATTCCAACGAGAAATAATTAAGAATGATGCTAAAATATAGCAGTAAGTAACATTAAATATTAACAATATATAATTTTGCATATAATATTACTTTCGGTTGCATCTTTTTGATGAAGTGGTTTTACAAAATATTATATTATTATAAAATTATTATATTATTACAAATTTCTATTGAATTGCGGGTAAAAGGAATCCATGCGAATAGTTTCCATATACAATTTTTGCTTTCTGGTGCGCTTTTGTAAGTACAGCTTTTCAAAATAGTTTTCTACTCAATAGTTTTCTATTCAAAATAGTTTTTTTCAATATTTATAAATCTAACTATGACTACAGTATACTCAATAATATATTTTGCTCGTTAATTGCATTTACGGTGAATACACTTTGCGCCGCTATGCGCTCAGCCTAGGCAAACGGATGTTTGAATGATTAATGTTTACAATTAATATATCTTATTTTTTTAACTACCTAAATATTTAGTGAAAAAAATGGTAGCTAACAAATTTTAGGCAACAAGGAAGACTTAACTATTTTTTATTTATCTAGAATTTTGACGCATACACAGCTGCTAAGGAAATGTATGGTCTACATATGTGTAAATAACTAGTTGATATGTATGTATACAAAATTTCTAGATATGAACATTTCTATAATAGTGTTCAAATGTTAGTTTCATTGCTAGCAAACCAACTAAAGAGCATTACACAATCATTATGTAGTGACTAGAAAATACTTTAGCTAAATTTACGTTCTTTACTATAGCAATATATATATATATATATATTTATGTGTGTGTGTATCACTGTCTCTGTCTATATTACTGAAATAATAACATCCCTACTCTCTCTGCTCTGTTGTCTATACTTTAAAACATATGTGCATAATATGAGTAACTGTAAATCTATATGTGCGTGTGTTTTTATCACAAAAACCACTAAAACACATTCACCGTGTCCATCAAATCACAAAAACTCGAACTCAACACCCAAAACAAAAAAAAAATATATATACCAAAAATTTAATACAAAATACAGTCAATTTCGCAATTCTCATTTGCTAATTAAAATAAAATAAAAAATTCCTCTATATCACAAATTTCATCAAAAAAAAATGAATACCAAAAAAAACAAACAACAATGATCATTATAAACTGTATCACAACGACCACAACAACAATAGCGCGTTCACAATCCGTTGGTCCGGCCGAGCATGTCTCGCCGAAACGTCAACTACGCTCTGCCAGTACAGCGCCTAGCGCCCGGCTAACGGCTAGCAAGAAGACACCTGCTGTAGCTCATCATGCGACAAGCGCTGGAACGACCGCAAGCAGAGCTGCCGTCGAACGTAAGCCACGCCCATGTAAGTAGACGTTGTTGTATAAAACAAAGCGTACAAAATTGCATTGTGAATTGCAGCGCATCAAAAAATGCCATACAATTCATATTACTGTTAATTGTTTACTTATGTTTATGATTTCTTGCGTTTCAATTTGTTTCTGGCAAATGTGATTCGATGTTTAATTAGAGTCAGTTATTGTAATTGTGCTATTTATTTACATTTAATTCTCATATTTTAAGTTGTTTTTTAATTTTTTTTTTGTTTTTGTTGTTAAAATATTTTAATTTCACTTTTTTGCTTCTCGTTCACTCATTTCATATTCATTGTTCATTGTTCATACTTCGTTTGTCACATTTCATGTTTCACTTCTTATTACAATTCATTTCATGTGTCATAATTTATTTCATTACCATTTCATTACATTCCCTGCGTATAGCTGATAGCGTATAGTATGCTAATTGCATAGTAGGTTTCGTTAATGGTCCTAAAATACATTCACACATTCGCCGTTTATGTTTTGGAAATATTTGAGAACCATTGTTAGCGTGTGAATTATATGTTAGTTAGTTGTTATTGCTAGCAAAATGTTATAGAAAACAAAAATTATAATTAAATTATGCATAACGTGATTATCCCCTATACTTTTGCTAGTTTAGTACGTACTTAGTTGATAATAGCGGTTTATAGGTTATGAAACTCTTGTTATATTTTCAACTCTCTTTTGATATATATACCTATACTCGCTAGTTTTTTCGAACTTCACGTTCCAGCACAAAATATTCTACTAATTTGTATAAATATTGTAGAAATGCTGGAATTGCAACTAATTCTGATAATCGTTCGTTGTTTGTATAAGTATAAAAAATAGTGTGTATTTTAGTATATTATTTCGTTCATTGAGTTCTTTAACTACATAATTGTCTATGTATTGAAAGAATTTCGATAAAACACCTAAACATTTTTCGTTTGAAGTTTGATTTCTTACGACTTTTACCTACACCACTATCTCAACTTTCAGCATGTCAAAAATATAGTTGAATCATTATCGATCTACAATCAGAATATGTTAAAATGCATATTGTTATTTTTGTAATTTTTTGTGTCTATTAAATATACAAAAAAGTTTTAAAATGTTACTATTAATTATACTGGAACGAAGTTAGTGCCGCAGTTTTCTACAAAAAAAAAAAAAAAATTATTTATTTTAATGCTCGTGAAAGTATTATGATCGTCATGATGTAATCGTTTTTGAAAATAAACGATGTAATTGTATATAATTTTAAGCATTTAGGATTAATAACTGAGGAACACAAAAGAAAAAGCGTTAACTTCAGTTGTACCAAAGCTAGAACACCCTTCGAAAATAAAGAAGTCTTTATAAAAGAACTTGATTTGGAACGTCCAGTTTGTATGGAAGCTGTATGTATTTTTCAAATATTGTAGCGTTTTCTTGTTATCATAGCCGTGTCAAGCTTTGTGAAGAGATCTCGTGATATAAAAAAGATTTCCATACAAGAGCTTACTTTTGATCGTTAAATGCTATTTTTAACCGGTCTTGCAACATGAAGCCAAGCAACAAAGACAGAGCATTGCCATGGCGTTATGTATATTCTTTGCTAGTTGGTCAGCCTTCATATCAATTTTTGCATTTAGGGTTGTCGTAATGGATGCGTTTTTCATCACCAGTCACAATCCGATGCAAAAACGACTTCGTTTTGTAGCGTTCAAGCTGCATTTCAGACATGAAAAATAATTTTCAATATATTTTGGCTTTGATTCATAAAGCGTACTATTTTTTTTTTTTTTGTTTTTTAATTTTTACACCTGTAAAGATGCAACAACAAAAGACAAACCAAGAAAGATGGTATACATATGCTACCATACAAATAACAGTAAATTTTAAGGTTCGCATGAAAACTAATGTAACGTTTCCGTGCATTCGGCGAGTTAGTAACTTAATATACTAACTTAAAAAATGTAACTATTTTTTATAACAATTTTTTTTTTGTGTAAAAATCTGATTTGTAAATAGTTAATAACAATTACTTAATTATTTAATAAAATAAAAGTGCTTAAATAAATATTATAAAATTCACAAAAGGCGAGTTGCCTTAGATTTGTGGACTACTTGGTTTATTTGTTATTCATTAAAGAAAAAGTGTATATAAGTTTACATGTAAGACACAAATTTATATGTAAAACAGTAAAGTTTCTATAATTAAAAGCAAACATTTGAGAGTTTGAGAAGCGAATGTCTATTAAATTTGTCATTCTTTGTAGTTTCATCTCTTGTATTTTCCTTAATTTGTAGCCCATGTTTATGTAGTTTATTTCTTGTTTTTTATTTATTTATTTTTTGTAAAATTTAGTTTCAATTTGACTTGTTTTCTTTCTACACTTTTGTTGTAGTTTATGTCAGATATTTTATAAATACAAACTGTTATCGCAGCTGAGTAAAAACAAAGTGATTTTTTTTCATTTTCATTTTTTTTCAATAACTTATGTCTCCAACAACAAAAAAAATCTACTACAAACAAACTGCTAACATTTTACAGCCACCCTATCCACCACACTCCATTCACGTACAAAGAGTAGTTCCCTACCACCTCCTAGTGGCAGAGCTCAGTCAGTTTCTGCTACTGCAGCTACCACTACTACTACAACAACCACAGCAGCTGCAAAACAGTCGAAATCCACGCACGAACCGACAAAATACTCAAAGTCCAATCAGCTGTGTAAAAACTTTACACAAACAGCATACGGAATGCCGTTATTGCGCAAGAAAGATAAAGACAAGACAAATTTGATAAATCTTGGCAATAGTAGAGCTGGTGAGAGTCGAGCTGTCAAAGCGCGCCCGAAGTCCACTGGCGCTGCCATAAATGTGTCCGGTGCAAGTGGTGGAAAGCCCACAAGACCGGTTTCGCTTACAGAGGTCACACTGGTGCCAAGTAAGGCAGCTACAACAACAACGGCGACAGCGACTAAAGTCGCCACTGATGCCGCGAAAATCGATGCAACAAAAACAAAATCATTGGCAAAAGAATTACAAAGCAATGAAGGAAACAAAAGAGCAGCAACAACAGCACAAGCTGAAGCGCTACTCATAGACAAGACTGCCGAAGCGATGCAAGCGAAATGCAAGGAAACTGTAATGGCACTCAAAACGGCAGATCCCATGTTGACTAGCGTGTTCGGCGCGCTACCAAATGTTGGAGCTGGCAAGGAAGATGTCTCCAATCTCATGACCGCCAGCGTATACGGCCAATTCGGTGGCATTCGTGTCACTGCTGATCCCATGTTGACGAGTGTATTTGGTCAATTGCCTGCTGGTAAGGTTGCCGATGGCGCTGCACTGAATATTGCCATTGGTGGTAGTGGCAGCGGTGGTGGTGTTGATGTTGGTGGTGGCGTTGGTGTTGGTTTGGTTGGTGGTGCTGGTGGTGGTGTTGATGTCACAGCGGTCAAAACCGTTGAGCCAGTAATGGCCAAAAATCTCACCCTGACTGGCTTAACGGTACCATATACGCGGGATCATAAGAAATTCGGTGAAAGTGAGTAGAAGCAGCATTTGACGACTTAATTACTACAAAACATACAATAATTCGCATACACACTTGTACTCATGTCTGTATTTGAGTACAAATAAGTTTGTGTGTGTGTGTGTGTGTGTGCGTATCTAAATAAGTAAACGTACTAACTCTAGTTTGGTTTTGCAACAATTAACGATTACTAATTAACAATTAATAAAATATTATATGAAACGATTTAGCTATTTTTAGATTTTTAACCGTTCAAAGTAAAAAAAGTCAACGAAAAGATATTTTTATTTTATAATTATATAACAATATAATATATTTTATTTTATTTCTATGTATTATATCTATGTAGTTGACGCACATATGTGTCTGTATAAATGTTGTAATGTGTGCTATTGAAAACATATAGTAGTATTGATATTAAGCTTATTGACCCACACTTATGTGCGAAAAGTGTTATGCCGTTATTTGATTATACATAAGTGTAAAGTGGATAATAAAGTACTCAAATATCCTCATATATAGATATCTGCTAATATATATTAAAATGTCATCTAAATAAATGCATATGTATTTGTGTGTGCGTGTGTGTATTGCAATTGTGCTTCTCGATAGGATTATAATTCTATATTAAAGAATAGAAGATTTAAATTACTAAAATTTGGTCCTAAGTACTACTCGTATAATCAGCAATTGATTGCGCTTGGAAAGGCGTTTACAAGTGAGTTATAATTGAGGTGTAATACTAGTACTGTACTACATAGTACGACGTGATTCTTAATGCCATATCATTTCAATTTAACCAAAACAAGACAAAAAAGTTCCTTCTGTAGCACCGAAGCTGGTGCATTTTTCAAAGCAAAAAAGGGTTAAAAACTTTTTTTTTTTGATTTCGGTTGGTCAGTTTGTATGGCAGCTACATGTTATAGTAGTCAAATATTAATAATTTTTCAAAAATTATAACGTTGTTTTTGACAATAATCTATGCCAAATTTCGAAAAAATAACTTGTCCGATGAAAAAGTTTTTCATACAACCACTGGATTTTAATCTCTCAGTTTATATAGCAGCTACATGCTATAGTGATTTTTAAGAGTTTGTACCGTTGTCTTAGACAATAAGCCATGCCGAGATATGTTTATTGTCAAATGTAAAATTTTTTTTTCATAGTTTGCATTCGTTGCTTTGTACAATAATTCATGTCAAATTCTGTGAAGATGTCTTGCTAAATAAAAAATTTTTCCATAGAAAAATTTGATTGAGATCGTTCAGTTTGTGTGGCAGCTGTATGCTTTAGTAGCCCGATGCCAGCAAATGAGCAGCTTCTTGGAGAGAAAAGGGCGTGTGCAAAATTTCAGAACTATATCTCTAAAGCTGATGGGCAAGTTCGCATATATATAGATGGACAGATAGACGAACATGGCTAAAGCTACTCAGCTCTTCAAGTCGATCAGTTTTAGCTGATAATTTTTAAAAACATTTTATAATGTTTTCGACGTTGTCTTCTGGTTGTGCCGAATTTCGTGGCAAACTTCAAATGGGATTTGCGTAAACTGTAAAATATTTTGTCAATTGCTTGTCGCATTTTTTAATATGAAGCCATACTACAATATTAGGATTTCGAATGCGATTTTAAGAAAGTTAAATTTTCCAAATGCATAAATGCTTTTCTTATATCAGACATTTATATATTAGTGAACTACTAAGTCGCTGAAGATACATTTCAAGTTTACGTAGAGAACTTATACACTTGCTTATGAATTTCTTTAATAAATAATATAGCAAATTCGTAGTGGTCTTGAGACATATTTTATTTCCCAATATCAACAGAATTTGCCTGCGTACGCTTGTAGCACTAAGACAATTCCGCGTTTCGTGACTTTGAGAATAAACTTAGTAAAAATCTTACATTAATACACATATGTTATAATTCAGATAATTTATAAAAAAAGATTCTATGGAAGATAAGTATAAAACTACAAAGTTAAAGCTATAAAAAATGCTGCACAATATATGTTATTATAATATATTTATGATTATAACTAAAAAGGTATTGTACATATTTTATGCAAGAATGCGCTTTGCATTTTGTTAAAACTACTATTAAATCCGCATTGTTTTGTACACTCACATGGTTTTAACGCTTATATGTATGTTTGTAGTTAGTGTTTAAATGTTTGTTAGAACTTTGTAGTTTACTCTTTTTAAAAGACTATAAAATTATATACTTTATGAAACTACTAACAACAATTTTTTTGTTTGTTAAAAATATATAAACTTTTAGGTATAAAAATTTACTTATTATTTTACTAAAATAGCATAGGTGATGGATATATAACATTGAAATCCTAAGAAATAGTTTTTCACAAAAGCAGTATTTTAATTGGGTTCTCAAAATTGTTTCAACGCACCATTTAAATGAAATATGAAATCAATGTGAAGTAGACACATATAATATTATTGGCCACAAAATTAGTTAATTGTTTAAGAGTAAATCATACATATACATAGTATACGTGGTATGTATGTATAATAATTTGAAACACATATATCAATCACCCACACACACATAAACATTAAACTCATTAAGTATGAATAAGTCAGTTACAGTTTTGTTAGCTAAATTGTTGTTGAGTTTTTCATATTTCAGTTCGGAAATATTAAGTTATATACAACTAAATACTATAACTGTGTGTAAATATCTACCGTTATGTTTGCTATGTGGCTAATGCCCTGTATGCCGCATGCTCAACCAACCAACTACCTGTCCACTAACTGCAAATTATATAATTTACAAGTATTACTAAATATTAAAAGCTGCTTTTGACTACTTGGTGCTCTTACGTGTCTCTCCACGTTGCTCCTTTTTACCAAACAGGCTTGATTGCTATTTCTCTTTCCTCTAATTGGCGGCTTAAACCTTAAACTAGCGCTTTGTGAACCGTTATGCTTTATTTTTTACCAACTAACCACTAACTATTTGATTTTTTTCGCCCTCTTTTCGTGTCGCTTCGTTTGACTCTTGCGTTTCGGCGCTTTTTATAGCTTAAAGTGCTTCAACAAATACTTGTGTTAATTTTTTTTTAATAATACTATATTTTATTAAACCTTTTTTTCTTTCAACTAAAAATATATGTTACGTAATCATATCAAGTTTTGATGAGTTATAAGTGAGATTTATTTTCAATAACGATTTACTAACCACAAAACTCTAACCATAAAATTTGCTTTCCATCAGCTACGAAATGAAAATATTTAATATACAAACTATAAAAATATACCTAAATTATTAATATAAAAAATGTTAAATTATTGTAGGTTAACATAAACGCTAAAAATTGTGAAGTCTCTAGCAAATACCTGTACTAACTTTACTTACTTTATTATTTGATTTTCCGTTTTTCTTCTACTACGTATAATCACTTACGTCGTAGACGATGCTGATGAGGGACGCGATACTGCTATATCTGTGTCGAGTTGCAGCCCTCAGCCAGCGCCTGAAATACCTGATGAGCCTATTGTTAAATCGCCACCAGAGCCTACACGCGTCAAATCGCCAGAGCAGATATTAATGCGCTCACCGGATCCGGTCAATTGGACCGTGCCATTGGATACAGGGAAAACATTCACTGTTACGCAGAATGTGAAAGAGGGTGAGTAATAATTTGTGGATTATTAATAAATAGCGGTAGTGGGCCAGTTTTGGATAATTTTGACATTTCTGTGGCAAGCTGAGAAAACTTAACAGAATCTTATTATATATATATTATATCTTATATAACCAATTAGTATATAGTGATAATGCGATCGATTTGACCCTTTTGAACAAGTATTCAAATTCGCCTGATATCTGGCAAGATTACACCAAAAAGTGGAAACCGTATAACAGTTATAAGGTGGTCTGATTGAAAATCGTTTGTATTACAATTCCTTCGGTCAGTAGGTAAGATTTTTAAAACTTAACAAGAAAATGGTTTCTTGGTTAATGAAATCTGTCAGTATACCTAGTAACAAATATTTATTTATGCTTTTATACTATTGATCCACCAATCACCATGCAAGCATTTAACTCGAGGTTTGCCCTGAACAGCCTCAAAAATTTTTTTTGGGATAGTCGGTTTATTTCTGCCATTAATTTGTTCTCATAAAAGTAACTTAAATGAGTGATACGAATAAATCCAGCTTGAGAACGAGAAATTATTTGGAAAAAATACGAGATTACTTCTCAAAACAGAATTATTAATACATATTGAGTTTTCGATTGAGCGTCTCGAAATACTTTACTGCCTTTTATCAATATGGTTTTAGAGAGTATCTAATTATTGTCTGTATCCGTTACAGGCTCGAATACCTCTACGAACACTTTATCAATACTAAACTTTTTTTGTGTTATTTCATAATTCGTTTTAAAATCTACGTGCAGATATTTACTGGTTACTAATGTTGGATTATAACATTAATATTTGTTTATGAAAGAAAAACTAAATCTGTAATTATTTTTTTGGTCTCTTATTATGTTTGTCAAAATAAGTCTTATAATATTGCACTTAATTTGTTTCAGGTGAAAACTATAGTCGGCCACAGAGCGAAATAAAGGCTTCGACTCCGGTCGAGAAGCCACCACCACCACCACAGTCGGCACCGCCACAATTAACAGAACAGGCTAAAATGGACGGTAAGCCTTAAAGTCGCTTCTTCACAACAAATAAAGAAAAATTTCAAAAACGCTAGCAAACTTAAGCCAAACCAAAAACAAACTCTCTCTCTATATATACATATATATATATATATATATTTATTATATATTTATGATATATAACGTATCTCGTAAGAAATCCATATCAAACTCAGACCAGCTTCTTAACGTATTCGTATTATTCGCTACTCATCATTACATTGCGCCAATAGTCAAGTAATTTATATATATATGCTATATATATACATGCATACATATAATAAACTGCAAATCAAATTAAATCAAATCAAGCAAAAAAAAAAAACAAAAAACTAAGAACAAAGTTGATATAATTCAAGTAAATTAATTAAGCCAAAACTTAAAAAAAAGAATCACTGCAAACAAAATTCAATGCAAAAAACCACAAAAATAAATAAAATTCCAATAACAAAACAAAAAAAAAAAAAACAAGCATTGGAATACGTTTAACACTTTCGTAACTTTCCCCCCCACACATATACACACACTTGTACATTGACGGCGAGTGCAGCCTGGAAACATGCCGAACCGAAGATGGGCACCACAAGTCCAACCGGTACCGTTGGTGCTGGACGCTCAATTGTCGCCACGCAGCCAACCGCTGGCGCTGGTGGTCTGCCATCACCTCCATCATCGCTGGCGTCAACAGCAATAGCAACCGGTAAGCCAGTGCCTGGCTCAACATTGCGCTGCCTCGATGACCCCATCTTCGATGTGGACATTGGCCATTTGGGTGGTGGAGGTGGTGGTGTTGGTGGTGTCAGCGCTGGTGGCGGTGGCAACACTTCGTCATCGTCCACGTCGACCACCACGGCGGTGACAGCACGCACCACAGCGAACGATGTGCTAGAAAAGGCTCGTGACCGTTTCGATCGCTTCTGGGGCGGCAGCAAGGAGGAGCATGTTTAATTTGACGCATTCGTATCCAATTACAATGAAACAATGAAATAATGAAAGACGCTGGTCGAAATGATGTTGGTGATGATGTTGATTGTTATGATTAAAATATTATTGTTATTAACAGCGTAGGTCGTATTGAGGTTAATGTTTCGAGTCTAGAGCGCGTATGAAATTCAGTTGAGTTTTTTATACTCAACGAGAGAGGCAGCCGGTTAGTCAAATTCATTAAATAACTTTTATAATAATTACAATAACAACTAATTACTATTAAAATGTGTAACACAAACTGAAGATGTACTAACAAAAAAGCAAAAATAGCAATAGGTGAACAGAGAAATGAGAAACACAAAACATATGTGTGAAAAAAATTAGCATAAAATTCAAAAAACAAAAAAAAAAAAAAAAAACACAAAATTAAAGCTTTTAGTGCAAGGTAATTGCATAAAAATCATAGCAATAATATAAAAATCTAAGTATGCAGTGTGTCAAACCATATTCTTTCACAAACACACACACACAAACTCTTACTACAGCGCAAATTACATGCAAGCAAGCAAACACTTTGTAAGCGTTGCGCTCTTTAATGCCACACTAATTGACACACTCAGCGCTATAAGACACGACATCATTAGAAAATCTAGATATTTTATTAATTGACCAAATCAAATCTTGTCATATATACCTAATTAGTTTAATAAAATGCATATGTATGTTTATGTAATATTGCATTGAAAAAGACACAGGGTAGCAGGATTTCAATTCCTAGTTTTTACTCAGTACATACAGTTAAATGAAAGGTGTTTTTAAATAAAGCAATAAAGCAAAAAACAAAAAAAAAAAAATTTTTAAAACACCAAACTTAAGACCTTAAGTAAAAAGCCTTGAAGTCGCTTTATATATTGAGCTGAGATATTTTTAGGTTATTTCAGAGAAAAAGTGCAGTTTCGAAAGAATAAAACTTATTCGGCTAGAAATAGTTGAAATAATATTAAATTGTGCTCCGTACTAATTCTTTAATGAACCAGAATTTAAAGTTTTATTTGTATTTAGTTTGGTGAATTAGACTTTTGAGGATGACAGATGACAACAATTTTTCGCCCAATTTTTTTAATGATACAAAACGATTTTTCGAAGAAATAAAGTGAATGCAAAGTATTATATTAAATATAAATTAATTTATATATTAATTAAAAATCAATTTAATTTGCTTTAAATTTGAGAAAGTAAACTTTGAGCGCTGAGACCTGTTGACTCTTTTTGTCGATAATTTTTTTAGTATTAAAAAGTGAACTTTTTCCGAAAGTCAAATGCATTTGAATGAAAAATATTACAATAAATCTGAATTATGTAGTTTAAATTATTAGCAACTTAAATCGCATCAAAATTTTAGAATAAAGTATCTACATATGGTTATTCTGCGATTTTTTTAGACCACTTTAATTTTTCGTCTAATCAAATTACTTCTGTAACAATTCTTAATTTTTATATTTTTTGTGATAAATTTTAACATGGCTTAAATAGTTTTTTGTATGGTATATTCGTATACTTAAAAGCTTCCATAAATTTATTATGTTTTTTGTGATGAAAATTTGAGCTTAAATAGTAAACGTATATGAGAACTTCAAAACTTTCATAAAAAATGAAGTTAATTTATAGATATTCCATATCATAACTGCCATTTAATTTCATGAATTTTAACCAGAATTTCAATGTGTCGTTTTGCGTACGGTAACAACGACATTGTATACATCAGCTATTTCATATGCCGTTTCAATCTTCAAAATGTTCAAAAACTGGCTTTCAGACGCTATTACGTCGTGAAGTGCGGTCGTTTATGTGTTTACAGCATTACGCGCCAGCAGTGTCAGTTCACTAACGAGTTCAATAAAAGCAAATGTTTGCTTTAATTTAAAAACAGCTGCTAGTACTTAATGCTCTAAAGACCGCTATTATTTCGAGCATTCTCTACATTAGAGTCACATTCTAGAATATGACATTTCGCTAAAGCGAGCCAAGATTATGTCAAGATGTATGTGTGGTTCAGAGATAAATTACCATCTCTTACACCAATAAGTTATCATTTTTTTCTGCGAAATTAGGAATAAATGTGAGATATTCTTACCGTGGAGTCACGTCAAGTGTTTTTAGAGTTTTCAGTGAAAATTTCTTGTACAAGCTCAGAAAATTTAGCATTCAAATCTGTTAAGTTACTTTTTTTTTAAACAACATTTTATAAAACAGAAATTTATATTTTGCTGTCCAACTTCAAGAGTACAGTTAAATTGAAAAACTAAAACTTTTGTTTGGTTTAATTGCTTATGCGACTATAACCTTACTAAATACTCACTAATTGTTTGGGGCATATAAATTCAACATAGCATATATGTATATTTAGAAAATGTGTTCAATTGTCTAAGAACTCATTAATAATAAGCTCAATATGCATATACTTATGTATGTATGTAAAACTGTAAAATAGTTGTTTTTAATTTATAATATTTTTGGTAAATTAACTAAATGTATGTCATATATGCGAAATATTTCTTTGCAGCTTAAGACAAATATAAAGAAAAACTAAATTTGTGCGCAAACCAAGGAAGTTTTTATTGTTAGTTACAGAGCAAGAGTGTAGATAAAAGTAAGGTATTGAAAGGCTTGGTTTTAAGTTACTAAAAAAGCAACCTCGAATTTCGTTTTTATAAAGGGGATTTATTTAATACTTAAAATAAATATTTTTATTTTTAGTTCTTATAAAATTATTTTATTATATTCGTTTTTAAAAAGTTTAATAGTTTGAAAAGCCTGTAATATTAAAAAAAATGTTATTAAAATTTTTTTTCTATTATTATTGTATGTCAAAACTTTTATTATTTTTTATGTTTTTATAAATTTCTAGTTTCTAGTTTCTAAGCAGAAAAATATGTGAAAACTTAAATATAAATTAAAAAATATTTTCATACATATAAAAAAAATTTTTTTTTTTTATATTATGGTCATATTAGTAGTTGTTCTTGAAAGGTGTCGATAAAAAGTGTGACATGCATCACTTAGTGTTAATTAACTCACAATATTGCATACATACCTATTACTAAAAAATCGTAATCAACCATCACCGAATCAAAAAACATCATCATCACTTCATAAATAAAATGTAGGCATCAGAAAAAGACCCGTCCAAAATATATAAAAAAATACAAGCTTAAACAACTATAAAGAAACATTTTTGAACCAAAAAATAACTAAAAACTAAATTAAATTTAGATACAACAAACGAAAAAATAAAATTACACACATGCTCTAAATTAACAACATATATATATATATATACATGCCACTTAAGTATATATGCTATACAATGGGGTTGTATTTCAGGATAAATATTGAAAAGTGAAAGTTTTCGCTAGTTTTAATTTTTTTAAATGAAACTCAAGAAAATACTTTCATACAGTATTTTGAACAGCATACGAGCACTAACTTAAATAACTAATATGGTTATAAGCCAGATACGTACATATGTAACGGTGCGTTTGCAAGACATGTGTGGGGAGTTTTCATATAAAAAAACTAAGCATATTCAAATTCAAAAAATCGTGAAAAATGCAGTTGTTATTTAATCGTTTTGTGGTAGATCTTTGTGGAATAAAACGAAAAATTATTATCAAAAATTTCAAATATTATGTGTTTGGGTAAAAAACATTATCACTCATGGAAATGATTTCCTTACGGAGAGTGGATTGTGAAAGTACTATTGAAGAAATGAAAATAACTAACCAATACAATTGTTTATCGCATTTATTATGTATGTATAAGCATTAGTTTTGAAAAGAAAAATATCAAAAGAAGTTTTAAAATATTTTTCAATTCATATTTTTATTAAAAACTTATTTAAAAAAAGCAAAAAATAAATAAAAAATTATTTATATTTTGACGACTTTGTTGATTAAAAGTTTGCAACGTACATATATAAGTGCTAATTTTTTTGTACCAAACAGTTTTGATTTCCAAGTGAATTTCTTTATAAATTACAACGTAATTCGAAAAAGATTATAAGGATTCACCAATTATTATATGTAAATCTTAATGAGTTTGAACAACATTTAAATAAACAGCAAGCACCAACATTATGTTTACGCAAATAAATATCTATTTATTAAGCATCAAGTAGCCTTTATGTAATGCCTCAATAAATGCATATAAAATAATTGTTATATTTGTTATAGATGTAATACTAATAAAGCTTGTGCATATAAGAATTATTTAAATAAAAATTTGTTAGCGCTTAATAGCAAAGCATGGGAGTAAGACAGATATTTTTTTCTTTATATATGTTTGTCTATAATTACTTCTCTTACTTCGCGATAAAACGAACTAAGCCTGAGGCGATTTCGATACTCGTAGTTTCGCACCTCAAAGTACATAAAATATTTTTATGTACGACGGTGTTGAAATTCGCAATTTCTTAAAATACTATAAATGTGTTTGAAATATGAGGTTCAAAACCATCCAGAACTTCGCAAAACTTGGAGGTATCTGACTATTTTTATACACGAAGAAAGAAGTGAGATTTGCAGGAAGTGTTATTATAAAAAATTCTTGATTTATGATTGAGATTTACCATTATAATTTATGATTTATGAATGATAAATTATGATTTATGATTACTGAATTATGATTTATTATTTATTATTTACGATTTACGAGTTTAAAAATCTTACAAAAGCCTCTTGCTAATATGATTTAGGATTTATGGTTTTTAATGATTTATGATTTACGATTTATGATTTATGATCCATAATTTATGATTAACGATTTATTTTTTTTAATTTTGATTTATGATTTTTGATTTATAATTTATATTTTTTGATTTTGATTTATGATTTACAATTTATGATTTATGATCCATAATTTATGATTAACGATTTATTTTTTTAAATTTTGATTTATGATTTATGATTCATGATTTATAATTTATGATTACAAATTTATATTTTTTGATTTTGATATATGATTTTTGATTTATGATTTATGATTCTGATTTATAATTTATGATTACAAATTAATATTTTTTTAAATTTTGATTTATGATTTGTGATTTATGGTATGATTTATGAGTAATGATTCATAATTTAATGTTTAATAATCTTACGAAAGCCTCTTAAAAACGATGAAAGCAGTTTACAGTATTTACAAGGAGCAATTTTGAATTGAATTTTATGTAAAGAGAAAAGTTATCGAAATAAAATTGTTTACAAAGTATTAAAGTACAATTATTACAATTATTGCCTGTTAAAATTCCACTCATTATTTACCGTAATGTAAGTCAAATGAAATCCCTCTATACATACTAATTAATTATGCTTACACTATATATAATTTATTGGTAAATATAATAAATAATTGAAGCTGAAAATCTTAAAATGAAGTTATATGAGCTTATATGGTATTGAGACAAAAAGAAAAAGCATATGTAAGAAGGCTGCAAATATACACGTTTGTACTGAGCCTTCTAAATAATTACCATCTGCAAATATGTTGGAATTATTTGCATAATTAGCAAGGTAAAATTATATTGCGCAAATTCCTCTTTTAATTTAACTCATTTGTTTGGCGGCATATTGAAAATCTCATTTCCACAAAACAAAACTATAAATAGGCGAATACGTAAAAAACAATAGAAATAAATAAAATAAAAAATCGAAATAAAAATCTTAAAAAATTAAGTGAAAAAAAACCTAATGAATTGCAAAATTTTAAAATCTAGTTAGTGACAGCAAAATCAATTTTTTTCACTGGCAAGCCATATAGAAAATGTATAACTTCGATACAAAAATATAAGAAAACAAATGAATAAGTAAATAAACAGATATATAACTTAGGTACAACTGGAATCACTAATACATAGTTTGAAGACAGATGCGCATGCAGTTTAATGTCTAATAATATACTATATGTATGTAGAAACTCATGGTAATGTAATAGCTAAAGAAATATATGGAACACATACACTTATAAACAATAACCTTGTAAACAGAAAAATCTAAAATAGACTAACTAACAAATTTGTTTTAAAAAAATTTGTGCTACATATTTCATATGTTATAGTGAATAACTGAGCCAAGAATGAAATCGGAAAATAAAGAAGTGCATTTCTCAAGTTCTTGTAGTTCTAACATAAAAGCGTAAAGCAAATGAAACTTCAAATATCATGGAATTTACTAAATTTCTGCCGCACAATCGGTGAAGGTGAATGCCTCATATTGACTCAGATTTGCTTTAGTGTATGTAGTATTGTAGCAGATGAGTTTACGTAAAGGTCCCTTTTGAATTGGACTGAGAAGTTATGTGTTGTCAATAATTTTTGACATACTATTTTTCGCCTGATGGATCATGCTTCCACAAAACAATATTGACAGTTATACCCAAGACATTATTTTAATTAAACATTATTTATGAAACAAGTAAGCTGCTTGTGTATAAAAAACTATGTAGAACTTAAAAATTACGTTTTACAAAAAACAAAAAAAAAAAAATAATAATAATAATAAGACGTGAATGGATTAAACAAATATAAGAGGCAAATTATTTTGGAATTTTACTCAACAATTTTGTAAGCATAAAAAATGGCTAAAAAACTAAAATTAATTACAAATTTCAAAACGATACTATATGAGACAGCTAAAATTATACATAATAGCATAACTTAGATTAAATGCGTAGTCATTGAGGTAATCTAGAGATACATATATTCTTTTATAAATACAAAAAATGCAATGAAAAAAACATTTCAATTCAAAAAAAAATATTTATTTTAATCGAAAAAGTAACTGATAGCGAGAAAACCCTAAAAATACCCTCAGTTACTATAAATTTGGATGAAAATAATTTTGGTTTTTGTTTGGCCAACACAACTTGTTTAATGACACAAATAAACAAAACACAAGCTGCAACTGAAAAATAATTTTTGTTATTGATTCTTCAAAAAAAAAAAACAAATTTAAACCTAATCTGATCCTTTCGGGTAGTATAAGCAAAAAACATACTAAAACTGTTGACAAAATTAAAATCTCTTTACTCCTCTCATTGTCTATGTACATGTAGAACTAACTCTGTCAACTGTCTACAAAACATTACACAAATGCATAAAAACTAAAATATATTAAGTGCATTGAGCAAATAATATATAAGAAATTTGCATCAAAAAGCTAGACTAATAACTGTATAATGCCGTAGTTAAGCAAACAGAAGCTACTAAGGTGAGATAATAGAATACAAAATCGCACACTCTCTGCAGTAGCAAATAAAATGAAAATGGAGCAAATAATTTCCATATAACGCGCAGCCACAGATAAAAAATTATTAAGAATTTATAAAATATTGAAAGAGCTCCGCTCCGTTCGATTTTCATCGACTTTCAACTAATATACAGTAATGAATGACATATACTCCCCGAGTATAGAATACAAAACAAAAAAAGGAAAGATTGCTAAATAATAGCTCAAAATTATAGAATAAATACATACGCAAAAATCCGAATGATAAAACAACAAAAGCAAATCCAAACTTAAAATAAAAAAGAAAAACAATTTATGTGTAATAAAATTTATGAAAACTGCATATAAACATTTAAAAATAAAACATAATCATTGTGTTTAATTTCGAAAAAGGTATTACTTATTACAAGTAAGGAAGTGGTAAGTTCGGGTGCAACCAAACATTTTATACTCTTGCAGCTTGCAAGAATCAAATGCCCTTAGGTGCTGGTAAAACTTCATATTATCCGAAGAAATCCTGATAAAATTAAAATATAATTTGGTATCTTCTTGACTTATATTGAATGCCATAAGCTTAGACTTCGTTTTATTGCTATATTTTGATTCACTCCAGCTAAAATTATATTAAAGACACCTTCAAATGAGATATATGTTTCTGAAATTAACTGGACCAAAAAGCTAAATTTATATTTTGAGTTTATGTAGAATCGGAATTCATTATATTAAGAATATGACCAAGGTATAGATCAATACTATTGTTATTCAGCGCTAAACCACATAATTTTTAAGAAAACTTGTACGATGAATTTCACTAAAATGTCACTCATTTTGACCAGCCTAAAGATAGGTGTAAAGATGGAAATCATTTTACGGGGTATATTGGCGATAGAGAAAGGGACTCGCTGATTGCATTAATTTTGACATTGCTCAGGTATATTCGAGAACATATTTTGAAACAATTTCATATATAAATAATACTCACTGACTGCCATAAAACGTGTTAAAATAACAAAAATCAATATACTTGTAAGTATTGTGTGCGAGTTAGAGGTAGTATTGGCCCGATCTTATTAATTTTTTCCAATACCTCATACTATTAACATGCTACAGACTAATAAAATGCTCCCAGGCCTCATTCAAGTACCTCACATACCATTACCAATCTATATGGAGTAAAGTCACTCGGATGTTCGAAATTCTGATATTAGTTATATGGGGGCTAGGTCAAGTTTTCGCCTAGTTTTGTCCATTTTTAACACAAGTATACTCTGTTATGATTAAAATGCAGGAAGGAAAAATGTAGCTGCCGCCACGGAAGAAGAAATAAAGAACCACACCTTGGAATAATGGCAAGCTCGCTGGGAGCAAGGACGCCACGACAGATGCACGGCCAGGCTAATCTGAAACATAAAATAATGGTCTAACAGGAAATATGGTGAGGTGGATTTTCACCCTACTCAGATGGTATCTGGGCACGAATATTTTAGGAAATATCTATATATACAACGACGCGATCGAGGACGACACTGAACACACATTTTTCAAATGCACGCGCTGGCAAACGCAACGAAATAGGCTCCACACTTTGGTTGGCCCCCTAACTGTCATAACTGTCATGCTTCAAAACGAGGAAAACTGGAAGAGCGGAAGAAAATTAAATTAATATATAAAAACGGGACCTGGGCGCAGGTAATGACATGTAAGCATTAAGACGAGAAATATTGAACGCCATCCTAAAGTAATGCGAAAATGGTACCAGGATGGGCGACGGTTCCCTAGAAGAGAGTCTTTAGTGACCTGCAAGTGGCACATACCATTGCTGTGCGAACACAATGACGATGCGGAAGGCATCTCAAACTCCCCCGAAAACAAAAAAAAAAAACTATTATAGGCTGTAGCAACATGTTGCAAGAGTAAACAAAGGGTGAGTATTGCTAGAAAGCTGTGGTTTTCGAAGAGCAGCGGTATTCCATTACTTCGACTAGCCAACGAACTGCGCGCTAATTTTGAATAGATCTCTCTGTTCAAAAAAAAAAAAAAAAGTTATCCAACAACAAAATTATCGAGTTGAATTCACACAAGAGAGTACGCGGATACATCTTTAAAGTGGTATAGTCGTTATCTTCAATGCTACCAAGTTTCGTTTTACACATTTTAGATCAGTTTTACTATTGTGAATGATTCAAATGGCAAATGAGAAAATAAAATTTTTGATTAGGCCATTGCTTGTGATTTATCACAGTTGTTAACTCTCTAAAGCTTCGTATGTTGAATACAGCTAAAATTACAAAACGAAGCTCTGAGTGAGTGAAGTTAATCAGAAAATTTAAATAAAATGAAAATATGATGTATTTTTTCTAACCTGCTTCAAGGCACAAATATACTTAGCGGTTCGCCATTACACTGTTTACTGCCGCTTTCTGGGGTCATTTACGTACAGTGTCAGACTTGAATTGCCTATAAGATTCAGTGCGCATAAACGTCAGAAAATATGAAATATTCGAAGGTTTGGATCTTTCGATTAGATTATTATCGAAGAAAGTTACTCCAATTAATTTTATATCCAAAAAAATTTTAAAAATTATATTTAAATTTTAAAAATTATATTTAAAATTTTTAATGTTTTTTAAATTTTTTTAGTCTTCTTATTATTTTTTTATTATTCTTTTAACGAAAATTTTCACTGAAGCTTAGTATTAATTGTTAATAAGCATAAAGTGGATCACCTGTGGTAATCTCCTCCATATATGATTGGTTGTAATTTAAAATATATCTTGGTTCGTGGCATATATCTACAAATTATATAATTTAAAGTAAAAATATAATATGTATGTACTTACTTCACATGTCCTTTTCAATCTTGGTCATTGGCTGATAAGTTCTTAATAAAATATTTAATATTTTCTGCAGTAGAGGATTAAACTTTATTGAAAATCATTATTGTTTGTTCGTTAACATATCTCAGCTGTAGTTGAGTATTAGTTTATTGTATTTTGCTGTGTAAGTATGTGTATGTTTGTTTCAGTTTTCTTAACATGCATTTATATGATCTGTGCAAATTAACATAGCGTTTCGCTGTTAAATGTTTTTAAATTCCTCATTGTTTGCAATGTATTTGTATGCACTCTTAACTAGCATTAAGTCATACAGGAAATAAATAAAAATGCTCTAGGGAAGGAAATTTAGATTATTTATAAACTTTACATACAGCTGTAGAGAATATGTTACAGAGCATGTTACTGCAATGACGGAGCATTATAGAGTGTATATCTAATTGTTAACTCTTCTAGAAATATATTGCAAAAAATATTTTTTACTGTCATCTTGAATTTTCAATACTTTCGAACTCATCCGAAAACAACATTAGCTATTCATTGTACTGTTGGCATGCACAACATTACTTAGCAGCTGCCTTTGTAGCTGGCTGTTAACTGTTAACAGCACTGCAATTCTATAATGTCTACAATGAATGTGAATTGTTTATAAGCGTAGGAAAGTTCTAGCGAACAATTTTGTGCAGTAATTTTTTAGTTTTTGCAAAATTTTTCTGTTTAATGAAAAGAGAAAATTAAATTTGTAGCAGCGCTCTGCTTGTGCAGTCTAACAGCACTTTCATTCTAAATTTCTTATATATGAGCTTCATTTTTGAAAGCAGAACTAATTTAGATCGATTTTTGAAACAATGGAGCATTAGAAAGTGTTGAAAAATGACTGTACTCAATGCAGAATAATCTTGCGTTTCGAAAGTGGTGCATTCAATGCCATATTGTTTTATAAGAGAATGTTGAAGTGTTTGTCGTGTTGTGTAATATATAAAAAAACAATTGGCGTGTGTAACTATTGTTGTGAGTGAAATGGTATACATTTCTCTCTTTTAGTATTGAACTTTGAAGTTTTTGCTATTAAAGTTTTTGATTTGGTCAAAACAGTTAGAGTTTGCAAAAATACTTAGAATTTGCAAACATATGTATGGTTACTAGTGGAGTTTTTTGCTGTATAACATATAGTACATTTACAAAATTGATCTCTATATTTTATAAACATTTTGCTTTTGCATTCACATATATATATATATATATAGATATTTAGACAATTAAATAAACATGTTGGTATGTAATTGTTGTATGGAATGGCTGTACTTAGTTCAGTTGGTAGAATTATACACTTACAATTATATTAAAGTTAATTTCTTGCAATTTAAACTTTTGTTTAGTTTTGTTTTTGTTCTTGTTTTTGTTTTCTTAAAAGATTTTAAAATTTTTGTTCATTTAATTAACCAACATGTAGATTATGAATATACATATACATACATATGTAACTGGAAAAGTTACATGCTTGTTTACACTTATGTAATATGTTTATTTATTAGTTACATGTAAATGCGTGTGTATGTTTTTGTCAAAATGCCTTTAATTTCGTTATTCTAACTTCACAACTAAGTGTCTTCTAGATTAGCGCAACTATTAACAATCAGATTGTATCAATTTGTTAAATACACAGCTACATTTGTATTTATCTATGCCTTAACATAGTTGAGTCTACAGTAACTGACGGCACAGTAATGTAGAAATACATTAGTTGTAAGCCTACAAGTATAACGTTTTCGTACTGTTGCATTGCTCTTTGCTCTTCAACCTTAATGCGAGTAAAAGTTCAGATGTAGTCTTTCATGATTTTGTGTGTTAGTTTTCGTTTGTTTATATGTATATGTATATATATTAGGGTGTATGTTATTTCCCAAGTTGACTTTTTTTTGCAAACATTACTTGAATTTTCATTTTTTGTTCTCAAACAAAAAAAAAATACGTTAACATCGGTTGCACCGAAGCCATAATACCCTTCACCAATACAAAGACTCCTTATGTTATAGTCACTCGGTCTGAACAATTTCTTCGGCGATTGCACCACTGCCTCAGACAATAAGCCATGCCAAATTTCTTGCCAATATCTCTTTAAATAAAAAAGCTTTCCATACAAGCACTTGATTACGATTGTTCATTTTGTATGGCAGATATGGAACATTTTGTATGAGAATATGACTTTTTGAAAGTTTTAGAGTTACTTGCTTAATGCAAACTATCAAAAAGCCACAAATTATAAACATTTAAAAAGAAATTAAATTTATCCACGATTTCAATAAAGAGTTTGTTTAAGTTGGTTCTTAGTTTTTAGCGCAAACTAAAACTTTAGGAGATGCTTGTGAAAAACATTTTACTTGGAAAATAATAAACACCCTAATATGCATATACATATCTGCATATATATATATTTAATAACTAATACTTAATAACTAATTTTATTTTATTGTATTTTTTTTCTTTGATTGTACTTCAAAAGAAAAAAACGTTTTTAGAAAGTATACAATTAACTAGTTCCGCTCAAAAGTGTTTCTTAGCAAGGAGCGGCTTATGTAAGTGCCTCTTGATGACATCAAAACACATATGAGCACATTTTGAGAAACACATTTGAAATACAACATCATGTGACAACATACATATGTAAAAATGTATGTAACTATTAGTTATTACCAGAAATGTGTTATTAATTTTCGTATTTCATTTTAAATTTTATGTATTAATTTGTGTAATTTAAAAATAGAGACTGCAAAAATATCACAGATTTTACTGAATTTAGCAGTCTTTAAAGGTTTAACAAATACTTTTGGTTTTTCGAACACAGGATTTAAATGGAATGTTAGTATATCTTGTGTAGCTAATAAATGTAATAGTACATATATGAGTATATATAAATATAAACAAATATAGATGATTTATTTTATGTAAAAATAGTTTAATGTCGCATGCAAAACGTATATGGATTAACTTGGATATATACGGTAATATGGTTGTTACTTGATATGTGAATTAATGAATTTGATTTATATTATAGCTTAATTAAAGATACTAGGAACAGTTTGTCCATATACGTAATTAAATCTATAAAAAATACAAGCAACAGTACATATTTATAGAAGAGAAAGTTAGCATAAACATTTTCTAAACGTACGAGCGAGTACGAAATTAAATCCATAAAAAATACAAACATATACATAAATATGTTTAAAAAAAAAACTTGGAAACAAATTTTTACGAATGGAATATTTTTTGTCAATAAATTTAACATTCGTAATTTCTATTTATATTTAATTGAAATAATTTTTTAAAATCTTTATAAAAGGTACAAGTATTTTTGTATTCGAAAATTAGGCTTGCGTGATTGAAAGACTTGTTAAAAATTAATTTCTAATTAAACGCGTGAATACGCCATAAAGAAAGCAGTGCCTATGCAACGCAAATGTAAAATATAGTCAATATCAAATTTAACAAAATGTTTTCACAAACCACTCTTATAGTTGTGACTAAAATTTAATTTACTTGCATACAACTGACTGTACCTTAAAGAATACAGTTCATATAATATAGTCATAGTCAAAAATGATATTGGATATGCGAGGTTTTGTCAATACGAATAGCATATAAGTTGAAAATGACCAAACTTAGGGAATTTGGGTTTGAAATATGGATTCTAGAGAAATATTACGGCATGAGTCAGTAATTCATGCATCGTTACGATATTAAAATAACATTTATGCTGAATTTTTATCCTCAAATTTAGTGAATTGTGTACGCAAATGTTAAAACCATCCTAACTTTATCAAACATCTACGAAATATTATTTTTAAACATTATCGCCATATCGCCTGCTGTTTGCAATATTTTGACCATTTATAGTACTTTTAGCTACATATAAAAAATTAGTAATAACCTGCGTTACCATGATTTACAATGTTTTTCTTACTTTAATTTTCATTTAATTCAACAAATGATTAGTGTATTGACTTTAAATACATTTAACTATGGGGGAAAAGATTACAATTTTTATTTGTATAATTTTTAGAGTGGAATTTGAAGCCATTTATAATTTTTTTAATTTTCATTTTTAGTTTACAGCAAGTTGTTTACATACAAGTATTTTAATTTATTGTTTTCTTGTTTTTCAAGATTACACTATTTATTTTTGTGCTTAAATTGTATGAGCTTAAATGTTAGTACAAATGTTGTCTAAATACTAATAAAATATTTCATGTCCTCATTTTAAGCGTAAATCGTTTGAATTTCCATATTTTTTAATTAATTCTTTGAGATAAACAGTAAGAACTGTAATGAATACATCTACAAATAAGTAATAAGTAATGACTACACCTAAAATATAACTATATATATATAAATTTTATAATATAATTCGTTCAAAAATACTTTTGCTGTGCTCAACTCAAAAAGTTTTTTCGTTTAATTAAGTAGTAAATGCAGCAAAAACAGTTTCGTAAAAAAAAAATAATTAAATATACACATAGGTATATGCATTTAGAAGGCTAAAATATATTTTTCAATCAAAAAAGCAAAAAAAAAGAATGAAAATCTTTAAGAAGTTTCGGAAATTTTAAATATGTAAATCAAAAACAATATGTTTAAATGTCTTTATGTAATATTTCCTTGCTAAACGTTTTGAGTATATCTGGGCTCATAATTTCTTTGTCAGCGAAAATTTTAGACATACTCAAAAGGTTTGTTTACAGTTATGCCCAAATATTTATGTTTTGTCTCTTATTTATTATTTTAATGATTTGCATTAAACTTTTAAGTTTATAGTTATCTTAAGGCATTTTCAAAATCTTCCCCAATAGGAGACATTCAAGGAAAAATTTCAAAAATGTTTTATATCTTATTGTTTTTGTTAAGAAAAAAAGTGCCTACATTTAATATATTATATATAAAATATTGAATATTTCTGCGGGTTTTCGTTCTTTTTTTTTCAAAGACTTTGTATTAGTTGACATGCATACATATATACATACATAAGTCTACCATATATATATGTTTTAATACAAATTTATAGATTTTCGTTAATGTAAGTGCTTAAATATGCAGCTTAATTTATCTTTGAACTATATATAATCATATAATTCATAGATAAATCAGTTATTTTCTCTAATATTTTCGGTTTATCGCCTGCAGTTTGCAATATCTATATGAATATGTGTAATATGTAATAAAAATAAAACAAGAAAAAAAAATTTGTCAAATTGTGTTTTATAGAATATTTCAAAAGGCCGTTTATAATAGTAAATTTTTTTCCTTTGAAATAAATATTGGTATTTATTTATGCAGAATTTTGCTGCACGCTTACCAACCGGCTTTGATAATAAGATAATATTCATTCAGTCAAAGCATCTTAATTGTGGAGAGTAGTGCATTGAATTAAGCCCTATTAGTCAGCTAACGGGTAAGGCATCGGTTAATTACCCAACAACGCTACCATAGATTTCTGTTAAAGTTTCTATTAATTTCTCTTGTGCACGTGTGATTCTCCATCTCTTTCTTACGCCAAGACCTTGCAGTTGCACCGTGTGTATGTGTTAGTTTCCGAGCTGATTTTTTGAATGCAATGAAGTTTTGGCACTATACCAGTTGATCAAATAAAGTGACAGCACTTGCGTTGTAATCGTGAGTTAACTGGCGCTCAGTAAACAATATTGCGTTACTTAGGTGTTAGTTACAGAGTCATAAACAATCTCGTTTTGCAGATTTCTCTTTTGCGGTACCAAGATCGACACTCTTCTTTGGCAGTCTTGGCATTTGCAGTAAGTTGCCACAGAGGATCGGTGTTAAAAGTATTTTTGTGCTGCTCTATGGAATACGTCTGCTTTATAAATATTACACTAACAATTCAGAAGAATTCCTTAGGACAAAATGGAGCAAGCGATTCTTCAGAATAGTTCAGGCACGAAAAAATGCCTCAATGAATAGTGATAATTTTTTTTTTTATCTTTTCAAACAAGAGTTTCCCTGTATTCCGAAGTTAATAAATATTATTGATTTTTTCTTATTTTCGTAAAGAAATCAGCAATGTATATTAAAATCTATAGTGACTGAAACGATGAACAAAAAATGTTAAAAAAAAATATTGGCTGTCATGCAATTGAACAGATGCACTGAATGAATACTACTTCTCTTTCTCTCTCTATCTCTCTCCTAATAAAATGTTTGATAGTCAAATCACTCTCTCTTTTGATTTCACTCTAAGTAAAATATAAGCCTAACCTAAACTAAAAAAATAATTACAACATTATAAATAATTAAGTATTCGTGTTATGAGTATTTAGTATTTATGTGTCGACTACAATAAATTACAAGTAACTGTTCTAGAAAAAATATTTTAGGAAGTATAACTGATAGTTAATTGCGTTCACCTTACAAAGTAATTTAAATCTACGGTAATTTACTGATCTCTTAACAATGCTATTGAACATTTAAAACACGTCATAAATTACAAAATTATAAAATCTATACGAGTACTTATTAGATGCGATACGACTTTACTGCATAGCGCATATTATTTGTACGAGTATATACATTTAACGGTATACACTTGTAGTGGGTTGTGTGAGTGGAATGTCGGAGTGGAGTTACAATTTATAGAATAATAATGATATTAGTGTTAAATATTAACGATAGTTCAACTTTAAATTGCTTAAAAATTTAGAATAATTTTTTTTAATTTTGCTCGAAGGTTCGCTTCTGTGATAAATTTCGAAGTTGTAATTTTGTCTACCTAAATCTTAAAAGCGTAAAGAAATGTTTGTTTCATATTTGTTTCTGGTCAGTTTGTGTATGAATTTAAACTTTTTAAAATTTTTCATAAAAATCTGTACTCTATAATTGTACCTAAAAAATTTCTGAGGTACACATTGACCAATAATACATGTTGTAACTACATTTAAATTCGTTTATATTTAATAAGTTTTGATTTTATACAAACGCATGAATAAGTGTAAAATATTTTTTTTTTGAGTATTTAATTGTGTGTTTTTTTGTTAATATTATAATATTATATTAGAATTACTCAAAGTTCATATTTACCACTGCATTAGACTACTTCGTTTATATGTAGCAACATTTTAGGTATTTAAAAATTTTTAATTAAAATTTAATAGTAATGCATTTGATTAACGTTCCAACTTCTTTATTCGAAAAAAAAACACCATTTAATAAGTATTTGTCACTTATTAACGGTTTCCAACTTCTCAATTTCTCTTATAAACTTTTAGTTAATTACTAGATGATTGTTTTATGCATTTTTGACCTTCATTAAAAAGTTCACTTTTATCTTTTTAGCCTTACCATCTTTAAGATGTCCTTTTGCTACATTTCAAATTAGTACCGTTAAACTACAATTACTAGTTGTTTACTTAAACGACCGCCTTTTAATTCTCATTCATATCCTTGATTGCTTGCAATATGCGCTTCACATGCCCCACTTTAACTACACCCAAATCTTTCAGATCTCTCCTGCCTAGCGTTAGCAGCTCTTTACCGCGTATATCATTCTTCATGAAGCTCTCCACATATTCAGAGAGCTGCATTGTCTCTAGCCATGTGACCACCTCGTCAACACTCCAATTGCTGGCAGCCTCGCGTGTTGTAGTTAGTGGTGGCTTCAGCTGTGTCTGTCCCACGGTGGAACCAGAGCGCAGACGCACCCAGAAATGGCGGGATTTGCGACGACCATCACCCTAAATGTGGAGTATACATAATGTTAATGTTAATAATAAATTATACCGAAAATTTATAAAATTAACACAATTTGATTGGAGATTATTGAGTAGAGTAGAGTAAATAAATCAACTATAAACTTTTTTTTAATCACGAATTAAACTCATAATAAAGGATATCTCCAATTATTCGTTATGTGGTGGCAAACTTTGTAGTAATTTTCCGACAAAAATCAGTCTTATGTCGAATTAGATTTATACTCATATTGTAATATTTAATTTATTTTGCTTTTGCGTTTAAATTATAGTTTTCAAAGCAGTGTCAACCACTCTGATTGCAATTAACTTTATGCGATTAGTTTTTATATATTTTAAGACCCCGAGATTTTAACCGAGATTTTTGCTAAGTAAAAAAAAATTATTCCAGTAGGCACACTATGGTAAATAAATATCACATTCACCCTAATGTGGCTCTGTGATTTAACACTTAATTAACTTCACATTCTTTCCTTTGGAAAATTTTGTGATATAATAATTTTGATAATGCGTGTTGCTTAATTTTATGCAAATCTTTTAGCATTCATGTAAATATTACTTTATACTTTACAGCAGAAAAAAATGAATTGACTTACCTCTTCATTTGGCGCCAAAGCATTGAAGTAAGCGCGTAATTTACCATCGCAACTTTTCTGAACCGAACATTTCTTCAGCTCCATTTCGATATTGGCCAATGCAGCACTTAACTTCGTCTCGAGATCCTCTCTCAATATTAAGCTATGTGCACGATCGCGTAATAAATTGCAGGAATCTTCGTATAATTGACGCGCAGATTCGATAACTTCTACAAGTTTAGTGCGCAGTGTGGGACCCTCAAGTAATTTGCCATTTGGATGTATTGATTCTAGTACCTCAGCGGCCCGACAAGCCACAGCATACAAATCGTGTTGCAATGATGGATGTGAAATGATGAGGAATTTCACCCATTTTACAAGCGAACTGACTGCTTCAATAAAGTTCAAAAGCACATAGCATTCACGCTCGGAGAGCACCTCATCCGTAGACATTGCATGCTCGGATGCAGTCGATGATTGTTCACGTTGTATAGATATGCTGTGTTGACGTTGCTTTTCTTGCCAAGATTTCAGTGAAACTTCCAAATGACGATTACGACAAAGCATTTGTACACGATTCTTATGTAATATACGAATCATGCCGGGTGGTTGTAGCCAAGCTTCACCATCAACTTGTATGGGTATCTCTTCATCACCCAAAATATTTATCTGTACGCTATGGCATTGTGCTATGCGATGATGTTGTAGGTTTATGAGACGAGAGGCGGCCATTTGTACCGAACCAAATACGGCAACAACTTCGAGTATGCGATCGTCAAAGCTGGGCACGAGAAAGATATCGTCCTTCTTGCTGGATCCCCAAAAATTGGTGCCGCCCATGAAGCTGTGTTATGAATTGTATATTTATTGATCAAATTGTCGACAAGTATTGTACATATGTATAGTGTTTTACTTTGTTGTTACTCACCTCGGTATATTCAATATGACAATGCCCTGGAGGGAAGGTAGCGGTATACGCTGCCCATCACATTCCAACTGTACTCGTTGTTCCAGATTCTTGCATGTTTTCTGCAATAGCTGTTTCGAACCCAACACACCGTACCACATATAGTTTTTGGCACGAGAGCGACATTTCTCGGGATGCTCTTCCCTTTTGTTATGAAAATCGAGTGAAATTTTGGCATCTATACCAATACCAAAGTAATTGTTCATAACGCATTTCTCATGATAGCCTGCCAATAGGGTTTCATCGGGATCCATTAGTGGACTAACAGCAGCGCAGAGCGTGTCTGCATTTGCAAGCAAGCACTTGGAGATAAACCCAGAACTGTTGGCTAGCGCTAGATGTTATAAGAGTAAGTATATAATTAGTAATATATTAAGAGATAAATCGTTTAGTTGCACTTACTTGGCCAATTAGGTAGGCGCACAAGTGGATTGATGATTGGCATTTTCCTAGCGCCATCTTCATTACTCATTAGACGATCCTTATCTTTTTTACCCTTATCGTCACGTTCTTTGTCACCACCAGTATTACCACCACCACTGCCGCCGCCCATGTGGTCGAAACCAAATAGTGCTGAACCCATAAAAAGACTGGACTTGGAACCTTTAAGTGTCTGAAGATTTGGTAACGCCTCATTTGGCTGCAAAGAGAGTATATATATGTAAACTCAGTGGCGTTAATAGACAAACAACCATTAGGTAGTGTTGAAAGTACCAGATAGTGTTGCACTAACTACTAGTAAGTGAAGGAGAATGCTTGAAAGTTCAGTAAGTGTGTTGTAAAGTGGACAATTGTATACAATTTAGTTATATTGTACTAAATGAAAGTAAATAAAATGTGAAAATTAAATCTTCAATTAAAACAAACACAAACAATTTTTTTTTTATGTACAAGGAGCAGCTTTGACAACAGAAGAATGATATTTTGGAACACAAGCAAACGAAGGAAGTTGAGCGTAGACTAGACAATAAGCTTTGGAAAAATATAGGTATATAGTTAACTTTAGAACTGTTTTATAGACAGCTTAGGTTGTAAGTGGAGGTTATAGAAACGAATTTACAAAGCAGCTACAAACTCATGTTGCAAACTATGGAAATAACTGTAATGCAATAAAATGTTTAATTAAGTTAGAAAAAAAATTATAACTTTTTTCTTCCAATATTTTTTGTAGTTAATTTACAACTACATCCAATTGACATGTTTCGTTAGCACCACTGGTTCGTTGTTATAAGAAACAGGCCGAAAAGATCGTAGCGTTCCTATGAGAGGGTATAATAGTAAAAACAAGCAAAAACGTTGACTTCGTTTACACCGAAGCTATAATAATAATATATTCAGATATTGTACCGTTGCTTTGGAAAATAAGCCATGCTCAATTTAATAAAGATATCTGCGCAAATAAAAAAGTTTTCCATACAAAAACTTGATTTTGATCGTTCAGTTTGTATGTCAGCTATATCCTATAGTGTTCCGATATAATATATAAAGATATATATATATACCTATATATATTATACTTTAGGATCTCCGAAATTTCCTTCTAGTTGTTACTACTTTGCAAATTTATTATACCCTGTTCAGTGTATGGTATAATTATGTAGAAACGGGTCCATCGACCTCGCTTTGATTAAACTTCCCACTTAGTATAGTCCATAGTTACCATTAACCAAGTATGTGACGGGACGGAAAAAATTATTGTAAAGAATTTGACCTATAACGATCGGAGTGAGAACTCAATGAACTCTTCTCAAAATTTCAAGTATGCAGAACCAAATCAACTAATTTCTATCAATGAAAGGGAAGCTTTTCGAGAACTCAAGAAAAGGTTCACAATGTGAAATGAAAACACTACAGACTTGGCAGGAAACCGAACAAAATTATTGCTTCAAAGTAGTGCAGGAGAGCGAAAAATATGCGGTATGAAAAGTCAAAAAGATGGCTGAGAATAGAATAACATTTCAAAGATATGAACGGCAAAAATTTTGAAAATATTATAAATGAGTCCAAAATTAAATAAGGACTTCGCACTGAAGCTATACAAAGTTTGGAAATACTTCAAAAACTGAGACAAAATTTATTCGGAAGTTTTCTAAATGGCTTTAAGTTTAATTTTTATTTTTTAGTTTAATTTTCGTTAATACTAAAATATATTTTTGGACCTCAAGGGTTCCACCATAGAATAAATAAAATCGGAATACAATTTTCTCAGCAACAGTCGACACAAAAACGGGAGATTCACATTTCCTAACAGGGTTCCATAAACATTTGGATTGACGGGTATATAGACTGGTCATTAAGAATTTGTTAGCAGGTTGAGTTTGGAATGCTTACCAACGGTATCAGCGGTCTTATAAGAGCCAAAGTGGCCAAACGTATATCCGGCTCAGCGACCACAAAGAAACGCAAACCCAACAATCCGTAAGCGCGCTCAGAGAGGCATTTTTTCGAATGCTTCTTCTATAAGCGCGTATGTATGTATGAATATACATTTAAAATTGAAGTTTAATGTGATGAGAAAAGTTAAGATTATGATGTTTATATTTTGGAAAGATTTTAATGTTTATATTAGTGTGTAAATAAAATTATTGTTGTATAGAAGTTGTGTTTTTGTGTAGTTAACTTAATTAGAAGAACTTAATGTTTTGAACTTAAGCAGAGTTTTGTTAGAAATTTACAGCATACGTTTTTCCAAATATGTATGCATGTGTGTATGTATGTAAAATTTAACGGTTATAAGAAATTTTGAAATACATACCAATTCTTTTCGCTAAAATTTGTATTTTTTTTTTTTAATTTCAGTAATCGAAAATTTTGATGAAATATATATGTATATATAAATTAAGGGAAATCATTTATAAAATTGTGTGTAAACCTAAGCAGAGCCTAACAAAGCAAAGTTAATATTATTAAATAGTTTATGTAAAATACATACATAAGCATAAAGTTTGCTAACTACTGCACTGACCTTCAACATAATACTTCTCCTGCAGTTTCCTCTCATTTAATCTCATTCTCTCCCCTTTACTCTCACCCACCCACTATATATATGTGTAATCATATGCACAGAATAAGATATTCGCTAACAGAACTTACCTTGAAGAGACTGCCACAGCTGATGCGTCGACTTGCTGCCGGTGAAGAGCTTAAGAATTTCGTATGTTCCGGATCTAAACTTAACAAATTTGGGTTGACACCCGAATGTCGACGATCCTTCTCAGCATGTTCTCGCACCGTTAGACTGGTTGTTGCATGACTTGAATGTCGCCTCAACTCCATCGGCAGCATACGGGCCGACAGTAGATTGGCTGCCGATGCTGCATTCATCGGTTTGATAGCGTCTCCACGTAATGGGGTTGGTGGGCGCACAACTACACTTATCTGCGGATAGTTTGGATTTACATCATCAAAGGATTCTTTCTTACAGGACTCATCAAAAGTAATGCGCTTTACATCTTGTCCGTGTCCGGATTTTTTCGGCGATGTGCTCATTGCTGAGCCAAGAGTTGTTGCTGTTGTTATTGTTGATTGGTTGTTCAATGTGCTGTGCGGCATTGTGGCTATATTCGGCTCATTTTGGCCATAAGACGTTGACGGTTCCAAACTGTCACCACTATCCACTTGTACATGGGTCTCGATGTCGCATACTTCGATCTTTATAGCCATTTTTGTGGTCAATTCATCCTCAGTATTTTGACCGTTCACATTTGTGGCACATGTTGTTGTGGTAGATGCATCAATGGAAAGTTGTTGTTGTGAAATAAGTATGTCAGATTTCGGTTGACGTAGCGACGAACGCTTTTTCGGGCGCTTTGTGAAGACGAAGATTGTTATCCAAACGTATGGCCAAATTAAAAAAAACCGTTAATGAGTGCGCATACGTTTCGAATGAGTTCGCCGGATAGTCCGTGGGAAATGTTTGTCGTACGATGAAGGTCGTTATCAAGAGAAATGCAAGCAATTCATCATATACATGTTGTTGTAGTGCATATGGGACGGATGTTAGTTTGGTTTTTGCGGAAAAAGCACGAGTATATATATACAAATACATATGTAGTTTATGAAAAGGCAGCATTAAAATAAATATGAAAAAACGAAAAAGCAGCAAAGTTGTGGTTTTAGCATTTTTACACATACACCGTCAACATCAACACCAACAACAACAACAACAACGTACAAGTGCACTTGCACCAAACTTTGTAATATAAGCCGCTAACTTTTCTTACGCTACACACATACATACAACACAACGTGGTATTGTTGTGGAAAAAGTTGGAAAACTAACTCACCTTGAAGCTTTGGCGTGCTATGTCATTACCCTCCACAAACTGTGCCAAACTGCAATATTTTGGCGGCTCACGAATTTTCTGATCATCGCAACGATTGTCGATTTCGAAAACAATATTCTCGAAACCGAATTGTTGCGGATTCTCATCGCTGTCCATGCGTTCCAATTGTGCGCGGCGTGGCGGAGATGAGTTACGTCGTATGCCACGATGACCGCCCATGCTGAGCGATTTCTTGCGTATGGATTTTAATGGCGGTGCTTGATTGTCCGAGCATAGAGTTGGTGTGTCATCGGTTATGGTATTGTCCTGTAGTGCGCATGCTATATCATTACCCAGTACCGAACTAATATCATCCATAAACGATTCGCCTGGCACGACTTCCGTCTCCTCGCTCGTTTCCGGCGAATCGATGTGTGTGAAGGAGTTTGCATCGAGATTCTGTGGACAAGTACACAAATAATTTATGCTTGATTCATTTAACTAGAAACTATATTTATAAAAAAAACAGGAAAAAGCGTTAACACCGGTTGTAGCTACAATACCCTTCCCAAGGATTTTGATCGTTCAGTGTGTATGGGGGCAGTATGCTATACTAGTCCGATCCGGCTTTTCTCGGAGATTGTATCATTGCTTTTGAAAATATTTCTTAAAATAAAAAAGTTGTTCTTACAAGGTCTTGAATTCCAGCCTTCAGTTTGTACGGCGGCGATATACTTTAGTGGTCCGATAGCGGTGGTTCCAGTAAATGAGCAGCTTCTTGAGAAGAAAATAATGTGTGTAAAATTTCAGATCGGTATCTTAAAAACTGAGGGTGCAATTCGCATATGTACAGACGGACAGACAGACATGGCTAAAACGACTAAATTTTTTAAGCTGATACTTTATGATGACTCCGACGTTTCCTTCTGGGTGTTACAAACTTTATGGGAAACTTAATACACCCTGCTCGGGGTATAAAAAAAAGCTTTAGACAGGTGAAATGGTTTCAGCTGCTTATTTGTAAGGCTTATTTGGCAGTTCTAATAACATTTTAACTAAGTTTCGAAGTTCATTATCCTTTTGCCCGTTTCTTAGAGGAACCTGCTTATAATGTACCTGTATTATGTCTCCTAACTGCAGAGGACGCCCAAGTTCTTGATTTTCTTGTTGCTTATCAAATATCTCAGAGGTTAAGCTACATTCCTCATCACCAATAGCTGACAACACATCACTTGCCTCGCCACCTGGTAATTCATCTGAAGAGGATAACTCCTAAACAAAGTAAAAAAAAATAATTAAGTTATATAATGATTACTGTGTGTACATTAACATTTTGACATAAAACATTAACCATACAGTACGTACAGTGGCCACATCTGTATCAATGATGGTTATAGTTTCGCTTGAGTATACATTTGGGGCTTTAGGGGATATAACTACGTTGGGTACCTGCAACTGGCATACTTCGTCATTAAAACGTAACTCCTTAGACTTTTCGGGTATTGTTTGCACCTTCTTGTCGTCTCCATTGTTGCACTCACTATCTGTATACATGCTATGCTTGAGTTTCTTTTCTTTATCTAACTCACGACTCATGTAGTAGTTGCGTTCGAATACCTCTATTGGACGATAGTCTGAAAGCGGATCTACAATCTGTTCGCTTGTTAACATCGGCACACTCAGAAAGTCGACTTTACGTTCGGACGGTGAATTTACATCAGTATTGTCACCAACTATGGGTAAAGGATTGCCGAAATCATCAATATTTGCACCACCACTTAGTGATAATCTACCGACACGATAAACAATCTCACTACTTCCTCCTTGCCCATTTTCTTCTATCTCTTGTATTACTTCGGGTACCCCCGAACTACGACGACTATCGGCAAATTGACGCGGTACTGGTATACTAATGGAATTGAAGAAATTATCGTCGACTGAATCACGACGTGTATCTGGTAGTGGTGATATGCACGTTAAGTGAGAGGTTTCCATAGTGGGTGATATTATATTTATTGGCGGTATTATTGGTATTGGCGAAGAGCATGGTGTTGATTCACCCGAAGCATTGGTTGGTAGTTTTAATGCTTCGAATGGCGTTATGGATAGCTTGCGCTGATAACGCTTGGGTCGACCAGGTTCCGAGTGTTCGATGACATTGTACATGGCACGTTTAACACTGTTAGCCCGACATTGCAGCGATTCGCGTTCGGTAGATTGCAAGGAGCGACTATTACGACGCTCACTTGTATTAATTTCATCCTTCTCGTCCTTCTCAATTGATATGTTTGGATTACTATAAAAATAATTAGAATGATATCTTTTTACATATATTTCATAGATCTTAACAACTTACAGCAGTGAAGCTGATGTCGACGGTGTTGCGGAAGCAATTGGAGATGCGGCTGCACTCTTTGATATAATACTACTGATTGTCGTTAACAGGTCGTCACCGGCATGTGCACCGGTCTCTTCTTCACGCAAAGCTTCCAACAACATGCCTAACTTCTCACGCAGTATGTCACATTTTACAAATAACTGTTCGTCATCCTTACGACTTTCAGAGATCTGCATCATTAGTTCATCGAGCGTTTCGCAGAGTGTTTTGGTGGCAGCAATAAGTGTTTCCGTATCATCGGTCTCGACAATGTTACGCAAATTTAAATTAGCCGACGTTACCATACCAGTAAGTAGTGCTTCTTGTGTGCTCGACAATGACATTTTCGGCGTTTTAGGTTGAACGGCGACAGCTTTTTCGAAGACCATAATGCTCCAGCGATCTAACATTTTGGTACTAGCAGATTCATAACGTTCAAGTATTTGCGGCAGATGTGCATCATCATCACATGAGGAGCCCCAGCCCAAAACACGCGCCAAATCGTTGCCGGTACCAAGAGGCAGTACTGCTACTTGACATTGTTTCTGTAGAAAAGAGATTTTGAGTGATATAGTATAAATATTTGCACGATTTATGTTAGCATAAATCTAAAAAATAAAAAATTTAAAACCTTTCACAAAAAAGTATTGCTAAAGGTCGGGGATACCATAAGAATGATAGCAAATAAATGAATTTATTTGTCAAACGTCATGTTATTACAAAATGTATTATCTATAAATGTTTGCTCGACACGAATACGGATTACACCGCTTTTAACAAGTTGGGTATTAACTTGTAATATTTTCAGCTGGGAAGTTAAGCTAGAAAGCGTTATATATGTAATAGGCTATATAACTATAATTTCATAACTGACTAAAATTTGTGAATATAGATTATTCTAAAATACTTACATGCATACCGAAACGATCAATCTCGCTGAGCACCCAACCCACAGAACCGTCACCGGAGCAAACTAAGATTCGAAATATTTCAAAATGTTTGAAAAGACGCAAACCCAAACTGGGACCGGTGGATATGAGATCGAACACTTGAGCAGGATTTAATAACTGCTTGAAGCGTCGCAAAAACTTCACGCCCTGATTGTCACCTGATTTCGAATTGACGAAAACCAACAGCGGTGAAAAATTACCCTTCGGACTCTCTACATCCCAAGAGTCATCATTTCCAATCGAATGCACACAAGTAGGCGGCACAACTGATAACTTCGCTGGTCCTAGTGGACAAGCGACTAAAATTTGTGGTCGGCAAGCAATATGTACGGTTTCGCGACACCATAAACAACGCCAATCTTGCAAACGCAACACAGAACCGCAAGTCTTCTTACAAACCGAGCACGTCGATGATACCGGTAAATTACCCTCCATCCATTGATGTGGCATTATGATACTACCATCACGATCCTCAATAATATCCTTGCCAACAGTGGCCAATGTAGTCCATTTACAATTGGCAATAGCTTTGGCAGCACAACGTTTATGCACTTTGCACTTGCATACCTCACAAGAGAGGCCGTGCGAAGTAACGCCGGAGAGTATATCGCGACATACATTGCAGAAGGTGGGACGAGCGTGCGAAGTCGCATACCAGTGATGTTGATTGGAGAATAAATCATGTTGCTCAATAAAAAAACTATCGCCACGCGCACGCGCCGGTATTGAGGCGGATTTAAGCGAGGTCAGCCAGTCTTCCATTTCGCGGCGAGATTCGGCACAAAGTACAAGGGAACGTGTGGCGGTGATTACCTGAAAGAGAAAATCGGACTCTAGGTTAGTGGAAAAAGTAATTAAAGAGTCAAAAAATAAGTGGATTATATTTAATTACGGTTACTTAGTAGTAGAATATATTTAAATGGAATTTGCTTGAACTTATTGGAAATATATTATATGTAATATAATACGACAAACTGCATGATGGTGGTCAGAACATAGTTCGAGTACGTTCTTTAAAAACTACTTAGGTAAACGGTTGTCAAAGCGGCAGAAATCAATTTTGAACTACTATATATACTAATCTATGTTATAGAAAATAATTTTCTTTACGAAAATTATGTTTTTAGAATCGCTTCTGTTAGTAACATTGGCATATATATAATTTCCTAAGTATAGTATTATTTCACTTATTTGTCACCAGTTTTGGACGTTTTTACTACCTTAGACAACTTTCTCCCCCGGGAAGTTGTAAGACTACAAACATTACAATTAGTTAATTGGCCTTGTCTACATAATTTAAGCTTACCTATGTTGGCAACTAATTAAGTTTTGAGCTTTGAGTGTTTATTATATAATTGTAATTTTAGCCGATCTTATAGTAACAGCACCAACAACATGAACGTACAAATTTAATTAGCTGCATTCCAGGAGACTTCAGTGTTCAATTATCAATACTAACTTCTTATTATATAATATAATTAGTCTAAATTACGTATCTTTATTGAGTAATAAATGTCCTTGAGTGACAGTCATGTGCACGACAATGGCTGACTGACTTCAATAACTGTTCAAGTGATACACAGGTTGGTTGAAAAGTTGCTAGCTTTCACCGAGAAAAAAAAACTGCAATTTTTTTCTCAAGTTGGTACATCTGTCGTGAGAATACATGCAAAGTTACAAGTTATTCTGTCAATTAATTCTTTGTTTACAAGCCATTTGAAGTTGACGTGTCAGAGTATTTTTTTAATATGGAAACAATTGAATATCGAGCAGTGATTATATTCTTTATTTTTGGGGTTTTGGAGGTTTAAAAATCAAAGGAAATTCTTAAACAATTAGTAGAAGTCTACAACGAGTACTCACTTTCAAAACGCATCGTTGAATTTAAGGCAGATTATATTGAATTTCGAGCTAGTAACTTTTCAACTAACCTGTATTTGTGCACCAAATACATATCTATGTATGTATATAAAGGAAAGAGCGCATAAGTCCCTTGATTATATCGAAATTGATATAATTAGTATATGTGAGTAGTGCAGCATTTTAGACGTGCATATAATCCTTACATTTGTTAACTTGTTGCAGTAAAGCTCTGCACTCGATTTTGTTATGAGAAATCTGTCACTTTTGTAACCGATGTGCAGCAATACATGCGTTATTGATAGTTGAAATTGACTGACAGATGACATTGTATGAAAGTTATCGAAACAAACAAGGTAGGTTGAAATCGATGCAAGTGTATCTAGATTTGAGTGTTTTGGCACAGTCAATAAAATTTAGTTGAAGAGTAACAGTGAAAATTATTATGAAATATTAGCTTAATGCATTATTATTCTGCAATCTATTTTGATGTGCGAAGGCTGTTAATTATGCAATATTACATGTATTTTTACTGACAGATAACCTATACTATAACATCCTTTTGTAATAAAAAATATTCTATATAAGTACTTGATTTTGATCGGTCAGTTTGTATGGCAGTTATATGTTATGATACTAGTGATCCGATCTGAAAATTTTTCCGAAGATTATCATAAAACAGACGATCAAATTCAAGTCCTTGTAGCGAAAACTATTTTACTTGTCAAGGTTCCTTAACGAAATTTGCCAAAGCATATATAAAGCTTGTATATAGCGAGATAACCCTAAAATCTTCGAAGAAATAGATTAGATCGGACAACTACAGCTTATAGCTACCATACATACTGACCGTTCAAAATCAGAATATACCCTTTTATGCTATAAAAAATGCACCTACACCTCATATCCTTTAGATAAAATTTCTATTTATTATTATACTGGTAACGGGGGTAACAAGCATGACATCTTCAATATGCCAAGGTTCTGTAAGCGTCAAGCAAATAGTGCAATAGTGCAATAGGAAAGTGCTCAATAATAACAATATAATATTGTTATTTAATATCTCCGATATATTGCTAGCAAAGGCGGTTTGTTAAATCGAAGTACAATTTTATCCATTTGCATCTACATCAACGTCATTGAAAGGCCAACGTCAGTCGTTAGCATAGCTTCATACTAAGAACCGAAGGAGCTATGATACTCTCTCATAATGCTAGTACTTGTATATTAATAAAACCTGTCTCCATAGTTTACATCAAACTACAAGTACATGCTACGAACATAATCATAAAAATAGCGCAAAACAGTTTGCGTAACTGTAAACCACCAACGCCATTGCACTTTGATGCGCAAGTTGCATATAACCTCAAGTTCAATAAGAAATTCTAATGGCAAAACGAATAACATACACATACACATCTGATCGATGGTACAACATGTAGCACAGTTCAAGTTGTTCTGCCTTTGAAACCAATTTTGCGGTCAAAGGTAAAGCCACTGCAAGTTTCACAATCATACGCCCACATAGGTATAGGTGGAATACAATATGTACACACTCCATAGAAACATGTGCGCAATATTGCTTTTTGATCGCTTATAGAATATTGCCACTGAAATTAATTAAGTTTTAGGTAAAGCAAATTTTTAGTGCACAATCCTTTAGGTAATAATTTTAAAGCGATGTCTCAGTAAGCAAATATTTATGGTGAACTTTAGTCGGAGGGAAAAATATTTTTGAGAAAAAAATATTTATTTTTAGTAAGTTAGTTGTCCACTTTGAAAGGCTTTAAGCCAAGTGAAAAACAATCCAGTTCATCGACGGTCGTTTGTCTCGTATTTAATTCCGAGCTAGACGTAGGCAACCGAAAAGGTGAAATGGTGACAAATATAGAATTTTTTTCGAGTGGTAGAATGCCTTCCGCATCATCATTATGTCGTCAGAGCAATGGTATGTGCCACTTGCATGTCACTAGAAACTTTCCTCTAGTGAGATGTCGCACACCCTGCGAAAATTTTCGTATTTTTTCAGAGTGGCGTTCCATATTTCTCGTCGAAAAACTTACATGTCATTACCAGCTTCCACGTGTCGCAATTTTAACAGTAAAACGTTTTTTTTGTAATTCCTCACATTTTTTCAGTTTTTCTCGTTTTAAAGCATGACAGTTATAATGTCGTCTGTATTGAGGTAGCCAACCATAGTGTGCAAACTCTTTCGCTCTATTTGCCAGCATATGTATTTGAAAACCGTGTGTTCAGCGTCAACTACATTATAGTTTTATATGCAAGAAGGCTCTTGGGCATGTCATATTGTATATAGATATTATTATAAACCTTACCGTCAGTGTGAAAATTGATGGAATTCGGTAACCCTGACCTCTTCTTATATTACTAAGCTTTATTGGGTGTGGTTCTTATGGTTAAGGGTTCCTGAATACCGTTTACAAGCTCACCGAAGGGTACCTGAACGTGGTATCTAGGTGGGCGAATAGAAGCGGCCTAGCCGTCAACCCAAGTAAAACCGAATTGGTTTTGTTTACCAGGAGGTATAAGATACCAAATGTGCCTCTCCCTTCCTTCGGGGGTTCACTTCTTCAGCCTGCTGAGAAAGTGAAATACCTAGGGCTCATCCTCGATAGCAAACTTTCCTGGAGGCCAAATATAGAGGAGAGAGTTAAGAAGGCTTCGGTCGCCTTATACTGCTGCAAAGGGGCTATTGGGAAAAGGTGGGGACTCTCACCTAAGGTGGTGTTCTGGCTCTACGAAACCGTAGTTAAGCCAATAATGTTCTATGGTGTGTTCGTCTGGTGGAGGGCGTTCGAGAGGACCACACTGGCTAAAAAGCTTGAAAGGGTCCAAAGAGCGGCGCTCATCGGAATCTCCGGTGCACTGCGGACCACACCGACACTAGCTCTTAATGCTATTTTAAACATAGCACCTGTGGACATTGCCGGTAGGTGCATTGCCGCGAAGTGTGCTCTAAGGCTCAGGGAAGCTGGGCTTTTGAAGAGGTCCGAACAAGGGCACTCCGAAATTCTTTCCTCCTTCAGCGGCATCCCGGAAAATATAGATCACTGCGTCACTGTAGCCACTCGAGGCGGTTCCTTCTCCGCTCATATCCCAACGAGGGACATGTGGGTGGGAAGAAGCCGTTGAAGAAGAGGCGCGGTGAGCTTTTTCACGGATGGATCGAGGCTAGGAGGGAAGGTTGAAGGGGGGGTTTTCTGTAAGGAGCTCTCCGTCAGTCTTAGATTCAGGCTACCGGATCACTGTAGTGTTTTTCAGGCGGAAGTGGCTGCTATTAAGGCGGCGGTAGAAGTACTGCTGCGTAGTGCAGCCTCGTTTGTAGAAGTGAGCATTCACTCTGATAGTAGGGCAGCAATACTATCTTTGAGCGCGCGTACCGTGCAATCAAAGCTAGTCAAGGAGTGTCTGTCCTCTTTAGAGGTAGCGTCTGGCTATTTCAACATCAGGCTCGTTTGGGTGCCTGGTCACAGCGGAATCGCTGGAAACTGCAAAGCCGATGAGCTAGCCAGGGGGGGCACCTTTGCCCCGCTCACATCGGAATGGGATCGGGTAGGATCTCCGTTAGCGTCCTGCGCTCTAACTTTGGATCAATGGACCTCGCGTGCACTCAGCAGACGTTGGTCGACGACTAGGTCCTGTGCGACCGCGAGATCCTTCTGGCCAAGAGTGGATCGCAGGAGGTCGGGGGAACTTCTCGCCCTGAGCAAAGCGCATCTAGCCGCTATTGTAGGAGTTTTCACTGGACACTGTCCAATGGGCACTCATGCGGTACGGCTTGGTGTACTACCCGATGCCAGTTGCCAAAGTTGTATAGAGGAGGGCGAGGTGGAATCATCCCAGCACTTTCTCCTCCAATGTCCGGCATTCGCTAGGCTGCGATTGAAATATCTCGGCAATCACACGTTTGGCGGTCCTGAATACCTATCCGT